TCTTTCCCTTTCATCATCTTCACCAAACCAACATTCTTCCCTTCTTTGAATCCATACTCTTCGATCCCGAATTGCTCCGCCAGATCCTTCCAAAGATGTTTCCACTTGAAAACATCTCCGTTGTTGCAGTTGAAGGCCTCGTTCTTGGCGTACCGATCAACCGCTGTCCAAATCTGCTGCTCGGCGATCAGGTCAGCGTCTGAAGAAACCGTGAGCCCTTCCCAAGCAACCTTGCTTCCAGGGAACAACAATGGCGATCCCTCGTGCTTGCAGATTGCTGCATAAACACAGAGACTGCCCACAAGATTCATGAGACTGTAAGGAGAGAAACCGAAGATGGTGTTCGGTCGGTGAACGGACCAAGTCAATCCTTCCTTCTTCTCAACCTCCTCGAACAACACGTCCTCAAGAGCGTAATAGAAGTTCTGAACCGGCAACCTCGGTAGATCCTCCGTGAACGGCGGATCATGATGAGGACCTCCGAGGTTGTCGAGGGGGGCGATGTAATGCTTCGTCCCCGTCTGGAGACAAACATGCTGGAGATTCGGCGCGTGAGGCACAATCGCGCGGAGAACGTTCCTCAACATCGCGGCGTTGGAGTCGCAGCTTTCGGACTCCGATCTGCGATTCGTCCAGGTGACGAAGAAGATGTGCGTCACATCGGTGAGGGGAGAGAGCTTGGATTGAGCGTCAATGGCGTCGGAGACATCGCACTGAATGTATTCGACGGGGTGATCGGTGTTCCAGCTAGGTCGGGGACGGCGAGCGACGCCGTAAACCTTCCATGGACCACCGGGCGTGTCGGAGAGAGGGAGAATCTCGGCGAGGCTGTTTCCGACCATCCCGGTGACGCCGATGATGAGCCCGACGCTCTCGTAGCTTCGCGGATGTTCATCTTCCACGAACTTCTTCTGCAACAACAACGAGAAAGGAGAAAAACCCCAAATGAAGATCGAATCGCAATCAGAAAGAATCTGCAAGAATCGAAGAAGAAGAAATCGGGATCATGGAGTTGCCCTGCCTTGGCGGCTCCGATCGCACCAGCCCACCACCAACTCATTATTTCGATCGAATTCGAATCCGATGTCTGAAGAGACCAAATCAATTCCGAGGATTTCCGTCGGAAATTTAGGTGTTTTGGTCGCGGAGGAATCTGAGGAGAAGCGATTGTGTTTCAGGCGTTTGTTATCTGGGATTGAACTGAAGGGGCATTTTGGTCCATTTTATATAATTTATAGTTACAAAGCGCATTTTTTATCTCCATCTATTTTTTACAGTTTGGGGGATACAGTTAAAACCGTTTCAGTAACCTCCGAAGAGAAACATATATGATAAATAAACCACAATCAATGGTGAGGGCTTTTTACTCTAGCCACCGAGTAGGCTACACCACCCAAAACATAATCTTATAATTTGTTCGCTCGAAAACAACTTTGTTATTATGACTTCATAATTAATTCTAAATACAATTGCAATTGATTCTAAATAAGATGACAAAAAATTCATCTGTCAAATTTTAAAAATAACTACATTTTTTTTGCACTTTCGTATCCATACCATCATAACAACTTCTTATTTTAGTTGTATATTAGTTATATGTTAGTCGTAATAAAATCGTAAAAAATGAAAAAAAAATATTTTCGGACTTTTTTAACCGAAAAATGGTGTAAAAGTTGAATAAAAAATTGTTTTTTACGTTGGTGTACCAGCGAAATTTATACGATCCAAGTGGATCATTTGAGTAAAATGCCGGTGAGCGTGTATCTCCTTAGTCTACGTAAATGACGATTTTACCCTCTGGATTTTTATTATTATTTTTTGCATTATTTATATGAATATGGGACGATGAGGCCCATGAATTGATGGGTCGATAAATGGGCTCTGATCAATATGGGCCAATGAATGAGAAGCTCGATTTTGATTAGCTTCCGCATAAAGACAGAGTTGTACGGTTGGATTTGGGGTGATCTTTTCGGATGTCTTTTGAAGATTTCGTCACGTGCCTAAATTGTGAATGGATAAGGAACAGAATCGTCAACGAGAAGAGCATTGATGGATTCGCCTTTTTTTTAATCCTTTTTTCTGCGGCCTAGCGCACATTACAACTTTATACGTCTTTGTTGATGTTTGGATTGGATTTGGAATGTAGGGGATACGCATATACAAGCAGTTGCATTGGGTTTGGATTTTGAATTGGTCTTTATATTTCATCCTATTTTGATTTTTTGTTTTAGAAAACTTAATAACCAATTCATTCCATATACATTTGAATTAGTTGATTTTGTATAATCAAACTAAAATAATAATCACCCTACACCCATAAAATTAATATATATATATACACACACACACAAGTCTGTTAATGGTATTTTCTGATTGTAAAGTCCACTCCTCTATGTTGTGTCTTTACTTATTTTCTTTTTTTTTTTTTAAAAAAAAGGAATATTGTTTTTCTATTTTTGTCGTCAAAGATCATCTTGATCCGTATCCAACACTCACTCGTTGTTCGATTCCACTGCAAAAGAATAAAACTTTCCCAAAAAAGAAAGATAAAAATAGAACGAACAAAAAACATCCTCCTCTTCTCTTTCTCCTGCATCATCTCTGGTTGTGCCCTAATCAGTAAACTCTTTTGAAGGCAAACTCCCCGCGTGTTCTTAATGGGTCTCTGCTAAATCCACTGTTTTTTTTTTGGGTTTTCGATTTCGACGACTGATTCCTCAGTCGATCTTCCTGATACCGATCCGTTTCACCACCGCATTCCTGATCGCTTCGGTCTGAAAACATGTTCCCTTCTGATCGATTTCCGACATGTAACTCCTCACTTCCTTCCTCACCGTTTCCTGCACCACCGCCAAAAACTCCGAGCTGAAAAACTGCTTATGGCAGCCCTCCTCTCCGCCGCTGTGATCCACCGGAGATTTCTGCGGCGACGGTGGAGCTGGAGGTAGCGGCGCGTACCTGTGTACAGAAACGTGGTGGCTCGTCAGGTCCGTGATTCGGTTGGGCTCGGACCACTCGGGTCCCGGCAGCGAGAGGCTGAGCAAAGTTGCCGGGTCCGTCGCTGTCACACTCGCCGGAGGAAGAACCAAGCCAGTACTCCCCACCGGACGGTAAACTGGAGAAGACGATACTCCGCCAGCCGGCGGGCAAGCTCGAGTCACTGAGCTCCGATCCGGAGGGACTTCCCGGGTTTAAGCTAAGACGCGTCGAGAGAATCGATCCAGCGCCGAGATTCGCCGATCTCTTAAGCGGATGCTCTTGCTCGGCGTCAGCCCTGGACGAGCATTTCCGCTTGAGCGAGCAGTTCCAGTGATTCTTAATGGCGTTGTCGGTGCGGCCGTTGAGCAGCCTCGAAATGGTCGCCCATCTGTTCCCGAGCCGAGAATGGGCTCTGATGATGGTCTCGTCCTCCTCCGGCGTGAACGGCCGGTGCTCCACCTCCGGCGATAACTGATTGCACCACCGGAGCCGACAAGACTTCCCCGATCGACCAGGGATCGATTTACTGATGAGAGACCAGTTCATCGGTCCGTACGTCTGAACCAACCTCTGCAACGCTTCGTCTTCCTCGGGATTCCATGGCCCCTTGATCCGATCCGTGTCCTTCTTCACAGATGCAGCAGAAGAAGAAGCCATGGACATAGAAACCGAAACTCGCAAATGTTAAAGAGAGAAAGATATATTTATAGGGGGGGGATAAGGATGACCGGTTGTAGCCGGTGACTGTGACCGGTCATAGCCGTTAACGATTAAGAGACAGAGAAGGGGGTGCTTCCGGTGAGAGGCGGTTACTAATAACCCAGCTGTCAAAATGCACACGTGTCAGATTCTGGCTTCACCGATTTACACGTACGATGGCATAGTACAACTGCCTTTGTCTTTTTGTTCCAACTGCCTTTTTTATTTTATTTATGTATAATTATTTACGTTTTAGAAAAAAACAAAAAACTGAAGAGGCGTTGCTTCGCTTTTTAACTATTGTACGTTATGAGTCCATGTCGTTGGATTTGTGTTAGGATTTAATATGAAAAACCAATTCGAACTTTTAAAAAAAAATGTAACCTCTATTTCTAATATTTTTTATAAACATTTATTGATATATAAAATCTAGAGATGACCAATTTGGTTAATAATCTATGTCAAATGTTTGCACACCATTATATGTAAGCCACAGCCACAAAAACATTCTTTTTTTTTTTCTAGTACTTACAAGAAAGCAAATAAATATGTGAGAAAAACATTTTTATTATCAAAATTATATTTTTAAAAACTGAGAAAACGCAGATTTAAAAGGATTAATTTTAAAAAACAAAAATGGAGGTGCGGGGAATCGAACCCCGTGCCTCTCGCATGCGAAGCGAGCGCTCTACCATATGAGCTACACCCCCAAGCGCACAAAATCTTTATTAGAGTTTTCTAATATTTTAAATTTCAAGAACAAAGTTTCCGAATTATGGATATCCAGGAAAAATATTTGAATACATGAGATAACGAAATTCAAAAACCCGTCATGTATATTCTACCACCCAAATCTTCTTCAAAAATTGCAATGGTACCGGAAGCTGAAATCGAAATTATAATTCCGTCCTAGAAGAAGGCACGAATAAGAAAAAAAAAAAAGGAAAAGAGGGTTTTAGGTTCTAAATCGAACCAAACGACAGAGAAAAATAAAGTTATATTTGTCTAAAAGAAACTAGTGTACGGGGTAATAACCATAACCATTAGTTATAATCTATATTCACTGATTTTCCAAACTGTTTTTTTTTTCATTTTTATTTTTGGAGATAGATCAAAAGATTGCAGCTGTAAATGATGCGATGATTAATCACTAATTATAATTGATGACCCATTTTCGGTGGGCGTAATGGACATAATACTAGATTGCATTGTACTTTGAACTAATTAAAAAATATTAATGATTAGATAGATTTTTAAGCGCTCATAATTTGGGCTGAAACGAATTTGTTAAATAATTAAAACAATTATTGCAAAGCCCGTCTAGCTCAGTTGGTAGAGCGCAAGGCTCTTAACCTTGTGGTCGTGGGTTCGAACCCCACGGTGGGCGTAGGTGTTTTACGTTTCGGACTTTTTTTAACCGCAACAATTAGCGTTCGTAAATTGTAAATTTCGAATTCGGCTTCCAATCTTGGAATCTTGTTATATTTTTTATTCCATTTTTTCCTGATGGTTGTATACATTTATTCTCATCTCGACGTGCCAAGGTGTCACGGTGACCGTTTTATCTGACAGGGGAAACCAAAACGACCGAGATAAATAAAGGAGTTAATAGTGAATTGACACGTGTCCCCGTACTTGGAGAAGCTTTGGTTTCATCCCAAGTCTTATCCCACGCCCATGACGTCATCTCAATCTCTCCACCCAATCCGTGTCTTAACCAAAACCACCACCACAACCCCATTTGATTCCCATAAATAGCTGTTTACGTACAACAAATATTAATGTTCTAAAAATCTAAACCTAAAAAACAAACAAGTGTTTTGTGATCTGCTAACAAAAAGCCTTTAAATTTGGATTTCTCTAAGAACCCCCGACTTTAGAGAGGGAATAAGAGGCGGGGTTTCTTCGCCAGCATCGGACTGACGACTTCGTCGACGTCGACGTCGACGTACTCCGCCGGGAGGTTCAGGTCAAACTGACGTTGACTCTGTTGGCTGACGTGGCTACTCGACTCTACGCTGCTACCGCCGTCGTAGTGGCAGCGCTTGTGCCCGCCCAGTGCTTGACCTGTCCGGAACGACTTGTTGCAGATCGAGCACACGTGGCATCTCCCGCCACCGCTTGCCGTCGCCGAGGTTGTGGTGCTGGTGGTGGCGCAGTGGTCGTCTCCGGCGGCAGCGAGGAGGTGTTTCCGGTGGCTGGCCTTGTGTCCGCCGAGAGCCTGGTACGACGGAAACGCCTTGCCGCAAACGCTGCACTTGTAGCTCAACATCTGCGTCTGCGGTTGCGTTCTGACCGCTATTTCCTCTTCCTCCGTCTTCTGGGGACGATCATCTTCGGTGGATCTTCCGGCGCGAGCAAGCATGACGAGGCAGAGAGCGAGATATTCCTCCTCGGCGGTAGGCTGGTCGAAACGCGGACGCTTGGAGCGTTTGCGTTTGGTGCTGGGCTCGAGGCTGTGGAGATTCGCGTTTTCTTCCAAGTCCAATAGCTTGGGCGAGCTGAGAGCTTCAAGCGCCATAGTACTCGACTCAAGAAAAAAAAAACCCTAAAAGCTGCTGAAGCAGAATAATAAGAGGTGGAGTGTTGTGGTGAGAGAGTGAGGGAGCGGAGGAAATGGGTTTATAAGGGAACTTTGGGAAATTGCGTGACAAGTGGGATGACGAAGGTAAGCTCAGCACTTGAATTTAATTTATAATCTTTGTGTAGAAATAAAAAATAAATAATTAAAAAAAAAACATCAAAGAGAGAGAGTTGTGGTTGGCAGTGGGGTGGTTATTCCATATGCGATGCCGTATTATACACCGTATAATCAATGCTGAGATTGGATGATTAGACAATAATATGCATGTTTATATACATACGTGTATATATATATATATGTATCATGTATGTACAATTGGGAGAGGAAGAAGCATGGAAAATGAAGGGGGAGGAGAGAAGTACACGAGATTGACTTTGGAGACCGGTTCAAAGTCAACGGTCGTAGGAAAAAGGAAAGACCATGTTGGCATGTTCCGAAGGAAAGGTCCATACAGATGGGAAGACGGTCAGTAAAACTACCACTCATTTGCAATTTTTTTTTTTAAAAAATTATTTAATTTTAGTTTTATTTTATGGGTTTTTCTTAATTTTGTTTGGTGACCCAACTTGGTAGGAAAATCACTGCTCCAATTAAAAATAAAAAGGAGAGTATAATCTAATAAAAAAGGACCGTACGTATACGTAGTTAATTTAAATAGAAAGAAATTGGAACAAGTGGGGGAAAAGGTGCTTGAATTCTAAGCATTTGATTAGAGCCCAAAACCACCATTTTCAAGGAGATTTTACCAAAATTATGTGTTTTAAGCGAGGAAAATGCAACCCATATGGATGATATATATAATATATGGACCCCTCCTATGATGAAGATGAACCTATACATTAATTGTGCAGTTGTGTGTTGCTTTCCCATCTAATCAACTTGTGTTCATGATCATGATATTGATACATTATTCTCTTGCAACTGCCTCCTTTTTCTTGAAATATCAGTTATAATATAATTTAAATATCACGAAGATTCTACTAATTAATCAATATAATATCTATTTCAGAGTTTAGACCACAATAGCAATCAGAGTAAATATAGGGTTTTGTCTTGATTTCACCATACTTGTGTTAAAGTGGGAAAATGAATATATGATTGGAGTAAAATAAGATTAGAGATATGATGGAGAATAATAATGGATACAATATCATTATACCAAATATTGTGTATCTGATTTGATTTCATTGTGTCTATATTTCCTTTTTACTCTATTTCTTAATTTTCCTATAAATATGTAGTTCATTTTCATTATAATGTAACCAGAAGAAGAAGAGATGTAGCAATAAAAGTAATTTCGTTTCTTTCTATTTGTCTTATTTTATTTCCGTATTTTATTTTTCTACAACTTGTCAGTCATATCAATTGTCCAGCATATATAATATAAATTTCTAATCACAACACATTTGTTTTTGTAGTATTTTTTGGTTAAATTAGACAAAAAAAAAATGTAATGAAGTTGTAAAATATGTATAAAAAAAAAATTAGAAGGTTCGGTAGTAAAACTGTTGAAGCCGAAGCATTAAGTCATGTTTCTAGAAAACTGAGTTGGAGAAGATACGCCTTCAGCTTCCACGTGGCAATTTTCCTCGCCGACTTTTCTTTGTCAATGTTTTTTTTTTTGTTTTCCTTCTTTCTTATCTCCTTGTTCGAGAGTTATCCCGAATTCTGCATAGGAAATCTGTTCTTTATAATAATTTTTAATATCATTTTCCAAAAATATAACCCGCCGGTTGTATTAATCCACGTTGATTTACATACATACAAAAAAAAAATATTGGGAGATGTATCTTTAGTAAAATAAAAGAAAAATCTCAAAACAATACCTAAACTTTTTAATTTTTACAAAATAAAACCTAAACTTTGTTTTTTATCAAATAAAATCCTATTTTTTTTATTTTTTAGTAAAAAACAAATTTTAACTTTAAAATCTTTGTCATTTTTAACTCTATTGCTGATATGGTGTTCTGATATCCTACGTGACAAATCAATATTTTGATCGTATTTGACACATCATCATCATCCACATGTCTCGATATCAGAACACCACATCAGTAATATGGTTAAAAATAATTTTAAAGTTTAGGTTTATTTTTTTACTAAAAAATAAAGTTGGAGTTTTATTTGATAAAGAACAAAGTTTAGATTTTATTTTGTAAAAATTAAAAAGTTTAGATATTGTTTTGGGATTTTTCCTAAAAAAAAAAGATACTACTGTTTGGGAGAAAAAATATTCTCAGTATCCTTAATTGGTACTTGAAACAAATTTGTCTGCTGAAACTCTCTTTTGTCATATTTAAAAATAATCTAATTCTCTGCTAATTTAGCGAGAATTATTCCCGACAACTAACATATATATGCGGTGCTTATCTTTGCATATTTTATGGGTGTTTTTCTTTGTTAAATTCAAGACGAGAATATAGGGTCGGATGAGTTCATGACTTCATGTTACAGAAAATTTCGGATGACGTGGCAATATTCTAGAACGAGAAACTTCAGACTAATCACGTTCTAGATTCAACTTTGTTCCTCTTCCATTGGGAGATGCGTTTTTCAACTCTTTACCCCATAAGCCAAAGGGCCCAAACTATAACTCAAATTAATCACCGCGTTAAAAATTATTATATAATATTGTATAATTTAAAAAATAGATAAACAAAACGTTATCATCATCAGCATGGTCACACTCGTTCGTCTCCACCGACGTATTAATAAAAAAAATTAATATTATCTCATCAAACTCAATAAAAAGAATCCTATCATGTCAAAATTTGTTGTATAATATCATCGGATTTGTATTGACAGACAAAATATATATAATTTGTATTTTCCTAATCGAAGTGATGTATATATAATATTTGAGATTAAGTATTTTAAGTTAAAAAAACATGAAACCACTGTCCATCTCATAATACTCTCGAAGATGGTAATATATTATATGTATATACATGTAACAATGCAGAAAAAGAAAGCACATTTCTTGGGTAATTAGTGACAATAATTACGTTCTTATTTGTTTTCGTAGTCTTTTGCAGCATTACTTGGAATATCTATATATGTTGTTACTTCCTGAGAATTATTTTCCCGGAAAATACAAAAGGGAAAATGGGTGAGAAAATTCCATTCTCCTTATTTTCGCATGAACTGAGAAAAGATCTTCATGTGGAGACCCATATCGAATCCATTGTAAGCAAGAGGAGCATACATCCACAGGTCATCCGAGCTCAGGAGCTGCATGCATCAAAACACATATTTATTTGGATGAAGAATCGATCATATATATGTATATATGCATGTGTGTGTGTGTGTATATATACACGTGCGTACTTTTATCTGAAGCTGTAAGAATTTCACGTAGTGGACGGCTTCTTCGAGCATCGTGCTGATATCGACCTTGTTTCCGTTGGGGACAAGGCTCTGCAATATCCTCAGCCTTTCGTTGATCCTCTCTCTTCGTTTCTGCTGGTTATGGAATGGATTCAGGAGACTGCGTTAAAACCAAACTTGATTTTCGTATTTTGGATCAAATTCATTTTTTGACCAAATTTATGTTTGAATCAATGATCTGATAATTTGAACCAGACCCAAAATTAATTTACGATACACTTTGTACAAGTTTTGCAAGAATAATAATAGTAATAACTAATAACATCTTTATAATTATAATGAAAATATAGATATTATGATAGAAAAATCTAGATATTAAAATATACTATTAAAAAATTGTGTTTGAATTGCTGAATTAATGGTACTACAGGTATCTCCTCTTCTCATTTGTATTAGTCAAACAAAAATTTTTTAAAAAATCAAATAGAATTCTAAATATAAATCCTCTTTCCTTCGATTTATCATTTAGAGTTCCAATAATTAATTTTTCGGCCCATTAGGAGAGAATTCTTTTGTTCCTTTTACAGATTAAACATTAGTTATTATTATTATTATTGTTATTATTATTTTTGGTGGTTTATTATTATGTATTACCCTCGCATATAGGCTTTGTGGATCGGTGGCACTGCCTCTCGCCGCTCTCGTAGCCAAACATGGTTTCGTTTCTTGACCGAAGTGTTCTTCCTCGGAGCTGTAACTGCTCGAGCTTTGTCCCTCTGATCCAACCTGCAATTTTTTTTTATAGTAAAGAGCCAAAAACAAGAATCTGATTTTCAAAATGTTACCAAATCGTTGATATCTGTTTCGATTGGTTTTTAAAACATACGTCTCTCGTGACTCGGATTCTATTCCTGGTGACGTTTTCAGATGGATCGAGGACGTTCTTCTCGTGCACGTAAAACTTCCTCTTCACCGGCATTTCCTTCTCTAAGGCAAGACCGTTACACATATCAACAGCTCCACCAACATGGGAACACATTGCATCAACATCGTGAGGATTAGCAATGCCCGTGGGAAAGAAAACGCTGTTCTGACCGTGAATTTGATCGAAACCCGAGAGAAAACACTTGGAAACGTCATGGAACGATGCGGAAGGATCGGCCGTATTGACACTGTAATGGCTACATCGCTGAGAAATAGGGTTCAAGTCGGTTTTAGGGTTATGATGAAGGGAACAAAGAAGATTCTCCTCGTGGGGGGGTTTCGCCGTTCCGGTTTCCGCCTCGGAATAAGGCGAAAACCCGTCATTGCCACCGCCTTGAAACAAAGAATGATCGAGAAACTCCGACACCGCAAAAGAATCCATCGTTTTCGCAGAATATCAAAGATATATACGAATATGTGAATATATCTAGATTTTAGGGTTTTGGAAGGAGTTGATGTGTGGAGCAAGTACAGTACGTACCAACGTGTGTATATATACGGAACCACATCGAGTAAAGTTATTGACTTGGAACTATAATAATCAAATACCCAAATCGAGTTCTAATGAAAATTATTCATATAATCGCAGAGGTCAGCTGTGGGGCCCAAAACCAGCCTCATTACAACTCAGAGGAGGCGCATTCCGTGCCAATGATATAGTAAACAAATACAATCCAATTAAATAATTTTGGACGCTTTCTAATGAATGCAAGATTTTTTACGAATGTATAATTAATTATACTCTATAGGACCAATGATTAGGATATTGCTAATTAATCTGTTAATCGAAGCGTGAGGAATATTTGAAATTCTCTCATTTGTTTGGTGAATAAAGAAAATACCGTTAGGAGGAACAATCACATCGTGGGAGATGAACTTTTTTTTTTTTATATTCCCGACAAGGTAACCGACGAACCCGTTATTTTTATGTCTTCAATGTCAAAACCTTAATTAACATTGTGTACTGAGTAAATTTTTTTATTCGGTTATTTATGGATTCACAAAAGCAATTATATGTTTGTTTTAATACAACCGAACTTAACTAAATTGGATTTATATATATATTCTTATACTGCACGATGGAAGTCATGAACCTTTTTTTTTTATCTAAAGAGAAACACAACTCACACTATATCTCGAATATAATTGTTACAACATTCACGGGACGAGAGACAACCATATTGGATTTTACGTTCTCTTTCCAAATTTGGGGTGGACAAACGCTTTACGTCTCTATTTCACCGGTTGAACTTGGTAGTCTAGTTTGTCGTATTTTGTATGAACACTTGAAACTTCTCTCAGCTCATTTCATCGAATTTCAAGCTTTATCTTAACTGTTTATGAACTAAATTTAGCTGTCTTTAAGCTCTGTGATCTAATCTCTAACCATTCATCGACACAGAAAAGGTCAGTTCATGAACACGAAATAACAATGCTGTAGCAGAATGGGACCAGAGCATTCACACTAAGGGATAATCCATTAATCTTTAAATGCGAGTTTCTAATACTATAATATAAATATATTCATTTTTTTTGCAATTGATGTATTTCAGTATCTTCATCTATCTTTTCGATTAATATTTTTGTAACCGTGATATATTTTCGAATATATGATTACGCTGTTTTATATTGCACGAAGGGTTCACATATGCCACGAAGACTTGATTCATCATTGATCATGCACCGTACCATTTGCGCGTGGTTACGTTATTTTATTTATTTATTGTTTTGAAACAACAAATAAAATGTTAGAAGATTCCAGATATCACAGAAGACAAGATCATAAACAGGTAGAGAGAGAACTGTAACACATTTTGATGGAGGAGAGGAACTAAGCCATGAACTCATACCCCAACAGATCGTGGACGAGTGGTCAAGTTTGGAGTATGAGGTAACTCCACCTTGAAATTGAGTGTTTGATTCCTGTCTGGTGGGGAGGGAGGTAATTTCTGGGTTTATATGATCCATATACAAAGGCTGCTCGCGGGCCGGAAGTTTACATAGTCAGCGCGTCCGAAAGGTAGCAGATAGGAGTCCTCCGTTCTTAAAAAAAAAAGCCATGAACTCAGATTCCCCCCAAGTTTCCGCCGATTCTCTCGCACGCGTTTTATTTTATATTCTCTTTTAGAAACTAAATTTAAAAAAAAAAACAATTGAAGAAGAAGACCCTCATGGGAGAGACTAATTAAACCGGCCAAAGCACGATGGCCCTTCGATGTTCGAAGGAAAGACAAAAACCTTATCTTAGGGAATAAAATCTTAAGACTTTGGGAACATTTTTGTACTTTTTGGAGACACAAAATCCGATATTATTCCAAACGCCGGCCGGCCGACATCACTCCAATTAGTTTCTTTCTTTCTTTTGGATTATTTAGGGTTTTTTTTTGTTCCCAATTTACATTTACATTAACATCGAATATAAAGCATAAAGGTTGATTAGTTCAGTTTAATTTCGGTTTAGTATGGTGCAGTAGGTATAGTTTAATAGAAGTTGATTGTTTTTTTTAATGAAAAGGGTCATTAGAAATGTATTAAAAATATTCGCATTAATTTTATGGGAATTAATAAAAGCATGCAACCATTGTGAAAATAAAAGTGAAGATCTTATTAGTGTACTTTCGCACATACCCATAAAATTTCATAATAATAATAATAATAATAATAACTACCCAAGAAATGTTGTTAGTATTCGTTGACCAAAGAAAAGAACCAAATTGATATTAAGGATGCGATTACCATCCAATTAGACAAAGGTTTTTCTAACTTTACAATCATGAAAATTGACTCAAAGGAAATATATACAATTAGGACATAACAACCAATGGAGTATAATATAGGTTATATCCTTAAACACCGGTTTAATTATATGGCTTTGGTCCACCCATCTCCATCCACGTGTCCCCCTATTATATTGATATTGTTGGATTAAACATTTCTTTTTTTTTATTAAAGGATATTAAACATTTCTTAATCTTATGTTAATAAGTTCCCGGCCCCTACTAAAAGTAGATCATGTATATGCCCTAGTTTTCTAGACCATAAATTATGTTATGAAATTACAAAACCATTTCTATAATTCAGACGTTTGCCCAAAGTACATGAATTATCTTGGCATCAAAGATAATATATTATATTGCATTGGTTTTGCTTTTATTTGGAAATTTGGTTACTTAAAATTACAATGATATATTGAATTATTTAGTGTATATATATATAATTATGTAATCATTTGTCTTACAGTTTATTAATAAAGATAAATGGAAATTGTTGAGCAGTCATTGTATCGTAAATTTGAATTTTGTAAGCTAAGTGGAAGTAAAATAATAAGTTCTAAAGAGGTAAATTGACTTTTCGTAATCATTTTCTTTTTTTAATTCACTTTCAAAAAACGACAACTTTCTTAAAACGTCCACTCAAAACAGTTCAATTATCTGTAAATACAAACAATCTTCATCTCGGTTAAATATGTTAAAAAAACTCTGCTACATGTATTGTTTTATTTATTTCAATTCGAGTAAAAATATTACTATAATAATAAACTAATATCATACATATATTTAAAATTAAGTTAAAGCCGATAAATTGATAAAAGTGCAGATGTTTTGGGTGATACTAGTAAAATGATGTTTATTGAGATTTGTTATTAAAATTCAAGTTTTAATCTATGTGTTTTTTTTAGAAATTAAGATTTTTAATAGATTTGTTCGCTTTATCTTGTTATTAGAGTGTATATATATATATTTAAAAATATAAATATTAGGTTTGGGTCGTTGATGGGCTGAGAAATTAGATATTGTATTTGGGCTTGAAAGCTTCTAATTTACAGATGTTCGTCTCTATACTTTGAGGCCAATTTTCATCATATTTCCTTTGGTTCTTATTGAACTTAATCTGTATGATTGTATCCTATATTTTAGAATTAAAACAATAAATATTTTTTTAAAATACTGAATAGAAGACCTTCTATATATAAGCCCTTATTTTTCTCTCTCTCTTTTATTTTAGATAATTCTTATATGCAGATTAAATTAAACCAACATCCTCAATATATACGAGCCCTTATTCCTTTTTTTTCCCTCTTTTATTTTATTAAATTTGGAATGTCTATTCATTAGGATTGACCAAAAGACTATATCATTCTCCAAAAAATTTAAATAAGGGAATTTTATTGGGTAAGGTAGGAATATTTCTATCTTGCTTTATGGTTCACCAATCAAAGTATTATCAAAGACATATATATATATATATATATATATATATAGATAGATATAATGATCCCTTAAGCAATGAATAAGCGAACGAATTAGAATTGTAATATTTGTCTATTTGTTATATATTATATTATCTATCAACCATCGTCAAAACCCAGAGCCCCATCTTGAGCCCACTGGGAACGGGGGAGTACGGATCGTGCGCCACGTGGCAACAAGAATTGACAAAAAGATGATCGGACGGTCTGCATTGGAATAAAATTCGGGTACGTTTTCTTCTGGTGAAGTCGCTCTCGCGTTGAATGAGACACGATGTCTTCGTGGTTATTCTTGAAGAGAAGAAATATCATATTATATCTATTTTTATAACTTTTAACAAAATTTGAAAATATTTATATGATTTTTAATTTAATTTTGATTCACATTTTTATCTATTTGTTTGGTTTACCTTAAATTTTACATCTTATCGAATTTGGCTAGATAATAATTAATATCTATTCAATAGAGTAAGATTCCGAAATTTGTTTGTCCTATACATTATTGATTCCAACCAAAACAACAGAAAAAAGGGACAAAGCCGAAAGAAGAAAAAAACTACTATATGCAATAATTAACCCTTTTTTCTTTTCCAAAAGCAAAAAGGAAAAAGAATAAAAAAAAAGTGTTCCAACAGTAACGACTTCCACTAACCGTTAGGCTTCCAAATTCCGATGCTCTTTTCGGATGGATTGTGCCTAATTGATATACCTTTTTCACAGTAGTTCTAATGAAATATGTATTATGGATTTTTTTCAAATAAATTAGTTAAAAATATACACACAAATTATTTGGGATAATTTATTAATTTCTTTTAGACTAATCCACTATCCCTACCAGAGAACTCAAAGTTATAACTAATGCACGAAGAACTTTCAACACTCTTCTCGTTTGTCAGGCAACAAGACAAACACCAAATTAAGTAGTTTTGGCAGCCAACCCAAATCTAAAATATAAAAACTAAAATTAAAAAAACTACCCCCAAATATAAAGGAAACAAGACAAGTGACAAAAGGGTGTGTGCATCAGAAAGATATTTACATTTTTTTTTTCATCTCAGAGTCGTGAAGAAAAAAAAAGTATAGTTTTTTTTTTTGGCTGTGTGTGGAGAAGAGTATGATTGGGCCGGAGGGAACAGGACACAAAGGCATGTGGGAGGATGGGGACAGAAAATCCTACAAAAAAGAAAAAAGCTAAGATGACAACTCTGAGGATCTGGCAGCGCCATTGTTGGATCTTGGTTGCCTTAGAAGCTCTATCAACGTCTCCGCCTGTCCCAAAAACAACATTTTTTATTTTTTCAAACCCACATGCTTCATCCCACAAACTTCCAAATTCATAAAACACAAATCCAACACGAATCCATCTCTCCCCACTCATTTCATCTTTGATTGATTTCCAAATGAGAGAGAAAAAAAGAATGATGCAAAAGCAAAAAAAATCGGTAAAAATCTCCATACTACGCTAGTTTTAGGAAATAAAAAAATACAATTTTAAAACAATTTCGTTCGTTTGCATCCAAAACTTATAATTGAAATCAAGATTCTCCAAAAAACAAATTAAAAAAATGTTTCGTGAGCAACTAACACAATTATGTGAGCTTTTTTAAAGTGAGAAACAAGAAAGAACAGGAAATATATTAAGAGCCCAACCCCATATGGTTTACGTGGGAGACGGGTTTAGTGAAGATGCTGACGTGGCAAATTTGTGTTCACTCCCTTGTACCAAAAAAGATCAGCCAAAGAAAACGGCACTAATTTCGAAATTGCCATCACAGATCAGCCGCCGGATCACCAACCAGTAATGGCGCAGAGAGAGAAAGAGAGATACCTTTTGCTTGGCGCGACTCGTACCGGACTGTGACAGAGCAACGAGCGGAGGAATCGCACCTTCACGAGCCACCATCGTGCGATAAACGATGCTATCTTCGCAGAGCTGAAGAAGGATCGAGACGGCGATCTCTTTCTGTCTCTGCGTCCCGGCCTCCACGATCTCCACCAGCACTGGGACTCCACCTTCCTCCACCAGCGCCGGCTTCGCCTCCGGCACCGACATCAGCAAGCTCAGCACGAACGCCGACTTGTCCACCATGTTTGACCCGAAATCCGCCATCAATTCCACCAGCGGTTTCATGATCCCCGATTGCACGGCCCTGATCTTGTTCTCCCTCACCGAGCACAACGAGTACAACGCTGTCGATGCGTCTTTCTTCCCCCTGAATCCTCCGATTTCTAGAAGGTTCACCAGCATAGGAATCGCCCCCGATCTCCCGATAGCCACCTTGTTCTCCTCAACCTGCGACAGCCGGAGAAGAGCGCAAGCTGCGTTCTCCTTTGTCGTCGATGTCCCCGTCTTCAAAGCCCTCACCAACGGCTTCATCGCCCCCGACGAAGCGATCAACTCCTTGTTCTCGTCGCAGAGAGAGAGATTCAGAATCGCCGTGACACCGTACTCCTGGAGCTGAGTATCCGTGGACGAGATCAGAGCAATCAGCGGCTTAATCGCACCAGCTTTAGCTATTTTGATCCGATTCTCGGATTTGTTCTTCGCCAAGAGCCTGATCTCCATCGCCGCCTGTTTCTGCTCCTCGATGGAACAGGACTCGAGATGCGCGACGAGCTGACGGATCATATCGTCGGAGTTCTCAGAAGCGCAGGCGAGGAGGAGACGGCGGCTCTCGGAGGAAGCCGTGGGGAACTCACCGGATCTGTCGCTGTTACAGTCGCTGAAAGCAGAGGAATCATCGTTGACACTCAAATTGCTAAAGCTCCTTCCCATGTAGGTGAAACCTGCGTGATTCTCCCTCTCCATGAGATCGAATCTCGCTCCGTCGTCTTCACCGCATCAGAATCGAATCGGCCTCGAATTTTTAGGGTTTGCTTTGGGGGGGGGAGTGACAAGAGAAAAGCGTCAAGGGAAGGGAAGGGAAGGGGGGAAGAAGGAAGAGATATAAGGGAAAGGGAAGTAACACCTGGAAGAAGGAAAGAGCGGAGAAGATGACACGTGGCATGTGGTTTTGACCGTACTACCAAATCCGAGTTTTCGCACATGCGAAAGGTCGCTTTTAACGCGTGTTTTTGGAGGTTCGCACCTTTGATAAAAAAAAAAAATTCTTTCGAAGTTCATCTGTCGCATCTCTCTCTCTCTCTAATTTTCAAAAATCTGATTGTGATTTACTAACTCATCACAAAAGAAAAAAAATAAAGAAAATGTATTAAAAAATAAAATTATCATATAAAATATTAAAGCGTACAGCCATAATATCAGGCAAAATTGTTTAAGAATCAAACAAAAACAGTTCATAAATTTAAGCCATTTAGAGATGTAGGCCGAGTCGTCTCCATTTGATATCGAAAATTTAATAACTGTCTCGATCCATGTTTTTTTCTCTAAATTAACTGGAAATTTATTTGATTTATTCGATATGTCTAAGCTCAGGAACTAATGTTCAAATCTGAAATAACAGCCCCTTTTTGCATTAACGAATAACGAATTTCCGATCATAGACATTTTCCGACAGACTTATGACATAGGAGCTATGTCGGCAAAGTACAAAGTACGAGAACTAAGGGGGATAACTGACTAGGAGTATTTTCGATAATAACGTCGTACCGAAGTTATAATTAAGTAATTAATAAATTAATTAGAGAATAAAAGGACAAAAAGGGACAACCACGTGGGGATGGAGCCACGGGCAAAGCCTAAACCGTCTTACATCGAACCATCGTCTACAGTTGTACCGGTAAATGGATGAGTTTGGGTTCGACGGTACGTACGGAATATTCGATCTTAGAATTTGGATTTAAAAAAAAGTTACTAATTGATCACGGTAATTATCCAAATCAGTTGTAAAATTAGAGTTTTTATGTCTCTACTACCTACGTCTCGTCCACTCACATTTTGGGATTGAACAGTTAAAACTTATAGTTTTACTGTACCGATAAATTATCCCTTGCCCTTTCATTATTTCTCCTCTCATTATTGTTGTCATTTTCCTCCACGTGCTTTGTCTTTCTTTGTTTTTTCTTTGTAACGGTTCTTTTTTACAATTACTGTACTATTATACATTTTACCCACAAATCCATGATATTTTTTTTTGGTAAAGTTTTTCACCACGATGGATTCTCTAATGGAGAACATTTTGGGCATACCCACCTACCAAATACGTCACCACACCTCATTTCAAATCTATGATAAATTCTCTTCCATAATATATTTTCATAACATATTTGAATATATTATACATATTTTTTTATATCGGAAAACCCCTATCTACTATCATTTGAGTACGTTGACTAAGTTAAATCTCCGATACGGGATCAAACTTTGTATATAAGCTTTAATTGATTCAAAAATTACATCACTCTTTTCCCCACTAAGAAAATCGAACGTTCGATCTTCAGATATTTTGTACCATCAAATCGACCACTTGGCCACTCCTTACTAGGTTATATTAGACATCTTTAATACAAATCTTATCTGTATATATATTTATAAAAGTTTTTAAATTTTTATTTTATATAGATAAAGAATATAGGATATTTCTAGGTTACCATATATCTTATCATTTATATATATTTTTTTAATCTTTTTATACGGTTCTATCTTCTTATTGAACTTAGATATAATTTTTTATAAACTATGGTGGACAAATGAATCAAGTATCCAAACCCGACAGCCAATCGTCTCAAACTCGTTTCAGAAAAAATTTTGGATGTCCGAGCAATTCAGATCGGCTTAATTTTATCCGGCATAGAACCAGTTTAATCACAAAAAAAAAGAACGTATAAAGTAAAGCCTCCACAAGATTCAGAGGCTTCACTACGATGGAGAAAAGTGAGCCACGTGTCTAATTCGGCACCACACGTTTTCAGACACAGACTCTTTCTTGACATTTCACAAATCACAGGAACCGAACAACAACGAAACTCTATCCACTTCCTCCACACTCACCAACGCTTCACATTACTCAAATGACAAGAATCGTAACGATGATGGCTCTGGCTTTATCGACGGCGACGATGCTATCCACGTGTCGATCAGCGAGTAATCTCCACCCTGTGATCCTGGTCCCTGGAAACGGCGGGAACCAGCTCGAGGCGCGGCTGAACCGGGAATACAATCCGTCGAGCCTATGGTGCAGCCGGTTTCTGTACGGAAGAGACGACTGGTTCAGGCTCTGGTTCGACCCCACCGTGGTCTTGGACCCGTTCACGAGGTGCTTCAACGACCGTATGATGCTGTTCTACGACCGCGATCTTGATGATTACCGAAATGCCCCTGGCGTTCTGACCCGGGTCCTCGATTTCGGATCCACCAAGTCCATGCTTTACCTCAATCCTTACCTCAAGTAAATCTGAACATTATTACGATCATTTAGATTAGTATTTCGGCACGATTCTGTATTTCAATATATACATTTTCTCGTCTAAAATTTTACGTACGGTACTATATAAAAATTGCGATTCTTTCTGAACTCGGGCATAATTCGATCTTATTATATGGTTGTCATCTCCTATCGATCCATTTTTTGTGTGAGATTAGTTAATTTCAATCCTTAATTCAGCTAAGTTTGAGCATATTTCTTGATTACACGGATCACTAGGACATGATTTTTGTACAACTGTCTGTAAGTGAAGTTTGATCTTTATGGTAACGTTTTCATCTTCGGTCGGTCCATTTGTATATAAGCTAATCAAAGTCGGGAGTCATGATGATGTTAATGAGAGAGTTCTAATCACGCAAACTTTGCCACATTGTAGAAAGCTCGCATCCTACATGTCACCTCTAGTGAAAGCACTAGAGAAAGTCGGGTACATCAACGACAAGAATATCGTCGGAGCACCTTACGACTTCAGGTATATTATTAATTAGAATATATACGATATATATAAAATATTATCACTTATAATATAGAAAAGTATAGTAACGTATACTAAGTTCAAACTCTTTCATAATTCCAACAGGTATGGCCTAGCAGCGGAAGGCCATCCGTCGAAAATTGGCTCACAATTCTTACAAGACCTTAAAGACTTGATAGAAAAGACGAGCCGAGAAAACGACGAGAAACCCGTTATCCTTATTTCCCATAGCCTCGGAGGGCTTTTCGTCCTCCAGCTTCTCAACCGAAACCCTAATTCCTGGCGAGACAAATACATCAAGCACTTCATCGCTCTCGCTGCCCCGTGGGGCGGAACGATCGAGCAGATGAAGACTTTCGCCTCGGGAAACACCCTCGGCCTCCCTCTGGCTAACCCTTTACTCGTCCGACCAAGTCAAAGGAGCTCGGAGAGTAACCAGTGGCTCCTCCCATCCCCCAAAATATTCCACGACCTAACCAATCCCCTTGTCGTTACTCCTCGTACTAACTACACAGCCTACGACATGGTTCGGTTCCTTGAAGACATAGGGTTCGATAACGTGGGTCCGTACAAGACTAGGGTTTTGCCATTAACGGAAGAGTTGCGGGCCCCGCATGTTCCGGTGACTTGCATGTACGGTCGGAACGTGGATACGCCGGAGGTTTTGGTGTACGGAGAAGGAGGGTTCGATGAGCAACCGGAGATTGTATACGGAGACGGTGACGGAACTGTGAACTTGGCGAGCTTGTCGGCTCTTGAAACGATATGGGTTCACGACAAGGACCAGAGCTTGAAGACAGTCCAGATTAATGATGTTTCCCATACCTCCATTCTTAAAGATGACGTTGCAATTGAGGAGATTGTTAAAGAGATTCTCAATGTCAATTCTATGGAATCAGAATTAAAAGAATATGTATAAATTTTGAATATTTTTCTAATTGTTTTTTACATACCATAGTATGTTAATAATACAAATATATATACTCAAAATTTATATTTACATAAAAAAGTTAGAAAAAGTGTTTTTCTAGAATTTTTATTTTTTTTCTAAAATTTCCTAAAAATTAAAGTTATTAAAATATGAAAAATATTTAAATGTTAGATATTTTTCTCACTTGTTTTACCTACCATATGAGTTAAATAAAAAAATCTATTCAAAATTTATATAAACATAAATTTTTGTTGAAAAATGTCTTTTTAAACTTTCCGGAATATTTTTCTAAAATTCCCGAAAAATCTATAGAATCAAGTTTACAATAAAATAAAATAAAATATTTTTCTAATTTTTCCATACTATTTCAGTTTAATTAAAAATATATATATTCAAACTTTTATATACATAAAAATTAGAAATATTCAAAAATTTATATGATTTTACTAATTTAACAGGGTACGTGAAGAATGTTTTAAAAATATTTAAAATCTATGTATTTGTATGTTTTAGGTTTGAAATCTACAAATTTATGAATCCCACCGGACCAAACTTTACCCAAAAAAAAAAGAAATATTAAAATACTTACTCTGTACCGTGGTCATCCCCGCACCTGATTGTTCCTCCCTCCCAACCAACGCAGAGAGCGCCATTTGCAAGCCTTCAACTTTTTTTTTTGTGTGTTCTTTCGTCAATCGTTTTCTTCACCTTCTCCAGCGATGTCATGGTTAGCTCGATCCTTGGCGAACTCGCTTCGTCTCGATGAAGAAGACGATGAGGAAGACGACAACCTCGAAAACGACGTCGTATCCGACAACACGCAATCTTCAACGCCAAGACGAGGAGATGCTCTGGGAAACGCGAATTTAATGGCGTCTTCACCGGAGGAGGAGGCTCGGGCGCATGGGGTGAAGGATGACCTGACGGAACTCGGACAGACCCTCACGCGGCAATGGCGGGGCGTGGCGAATTTTCTCGCGCCGCCTCCTGATGTTGTTGTTCGTGCAGGAGGAGGATCGTCTTTCAATCTGTCGGATTCGGGCTTCAATCGATCCCAACCTTCGGATCGGTCTGATTCGAGAATGGAGAGCGATTCGGCGATTGGAGGTAGGGTTGGGAGATTGGACACGGAGACAAGGGAGATGGTTTCGGATAATCATCCTTTCAGGTCGGAAGGAAAAGAGGATCGAGAGAAGGACGATGAATTTGAAGAAGTGGAGGAGGAGACAGAGACAGAGGAAGAGGAAGAGGAGATCGATGCGGTTGGTGTTACAGATGAAGTGCTTGCATTCGCGAGGAACATTGCAATGCACCCAGAAACTTGGTTGGATTTTCCTCTCGACCCAGATGAAGATCTCGATGGTATGTGATTCAGAATACAATAACCGCTGTATTGGGTTCTGCTCATCTGATTTTCAAGTTATCGCCTTTATCCATTCTCTTTGGGATGAATCAGCATGCTCGTGTCTCGAAAATGGTGATCCTGCAATTACACATCCAGGTTATGCTGTCCAAGATGTTCGGTTTTTCTCAATCTTAGTTTCATGTCTTGACCCTTTGCTACTTGCAAGTCTTGGGCCTAATTTGAATCTATGCCATTGTCTAGGTACAATATGAACAAGGGTTTGGGAACTTGGTTGAATACGAGAATGTTGTTTTGTTGGATCATCCCTCCAAAGCTCTAGTTCTAGAGAACTTGTTTAGATCTTCCTAACTTGGGCTGCATTAAAGTTTGGTTTTTCATTTTCTTGATTGTAGATTTCTTCATGTCTGATGCTCAAAGAGGGCATGCTCTAGCTATCGAGTGTCTTGCTCCGAGATTAGCTGCCCTCAGAATAGAACTTTGCCCATGCCATATGAGTGTAGGCTACTTCTGGAAAGTCTATTTCGTTCTCCTGCATTCAAGACTAAATAAGTATGATGCAGAGATTTTGTCTTCTCCACAGGTAAGCTTCTGGTTCTTATTCTTCTTTAATCCCATTATCTTCTGCAACTTTTTAGGCTGATGCTAAAGAATCGGTTTGTCGATGAAACAAGTTGGTCTAAAAGATTGATTAAAATGGGTGCTTGCAGGTGATGGAGGCGAGAGCGTTATGGATGAAGGAGCTTCAGAAACAAACGAACTCTGAAACCGACTGGTTTGGGAGAAGCGTTTCTTCTGTAAAAGAGAGTGGAGACACACGAGTTGAAGACCCTATTCCATCCTCATCCAACTACTACGCTCCTCCCGAGTTTCTGTCTCCTAGAATATATGCCTTTGAACCACCCTCCATCATGTCACAGCATGATCACGAGACAGTTAAATACATGTCTGAAAACACGGAAGCAGCAGCATTTATAGACAAGGCTGTAATAGAGGAAGAACCAGTCCATAAGACTGACAAAAGGGATATAACCTTCGGCCAATCACCCAAAGCCTGGCCACTGGCTTATGCAGGCTATGATGACGACAATGATGATGATGATGATGACTGGCCCGAAGAGGAAGATTCCACTTATGGTGGAACCATTAGGGCTTCCATGTTCACGGTGAACGAAGAAGAGGTGTCTTTTAGCGATCTTGAAGGGGATGACGATATCAGTAGCCTGGCTCTAAAATGTAAGATGATCTCGAAAGATACAGAACGGGAAAACAGCTTAAAAGCCTCGGGATAGTACCGAGGTCATTCCATCTGGGTTCTGAATTCTAACACGACGAGCAAAGGATGTTACTCTGGTCTTGTTCGGGAGATCAGAAGCATCGATACGGGGTTTTGGCTGAAGACAGTGTCTATTTAGCAACCTTTGTACATACCTAAAGGATGCTTGGTGAGTGTTGAAAGTGTGAATGGAAGTTTTGGTGAGTTTTTATTGTTTATTGGGAGCAATGTGATACAAAGTTGTCTTGTTCTTCATTCTCAGGAGAAAGAATGAAAAAAAAAAGATTCATACTTTTTGGTCTAATTGAATATATTTGGAAATATGCACAGAAACATGATTTGATCGAATATAACGAAAATACGTTTTAAATTCCATTTGAAGAGTCGATTTAGAAAGTTCTATAAATTTTTGGATTATAAAAAAAAAAGTTTTAAGTTTTTAAAATGGGAAATTTATTTGAACAAAATTTTGAGTTATCTTATTCAAAACTCTAAACTAACTATCACACTTATACGAAAAACACATTTTAAACTCTAGACTTAGTCATATTAAATCTAAAACTTTTATTAGAAATATAAAAAAAAAAATCTTCATCTTTAACTCATTTAAAATACATCATCAAATATTATTATTTACTTACATAAATATTGAATGGCAAAAATTCTATCTCGGAGATTATATCATTTTTTAGAAAAAAAAATGTATATTTCAATACTCTTAAATCAATTTCTTTTGTATGTTTATTTAATTTCAAAATTTATAATTTAAATTATTTTTAAATGTTTTTATCAATGAAAAATGCATCTTTTTTAATTAGGTGTGTTTATTGATTTATTTGTATTAGATATAAAATATGTAATAAAAGATTGTTTTCCTTTGAAATGTTTACGTGAGAGCATCTAAAAAATAGAAATTAATAGTTTTTTTTATGAGTTTAAAATATAAGATTTTTTAATAAGTCTAATAATTTAGAGTTTTTTTTAACAAGATTACTAAAAAGGTGGGCATTTGATTTGACCATGTTTCAAATATGTTAAACACTAAATAAGGGAAACAAAAACCTATAAATTTCATTATAAAAATGTGTTATATGAAACAAATATTTTTTATATTAAACGATTTCAATGCCGTAGATCTGGTAGTGGTTTAACCTCTAACAGATTTAATAATGCCTAACATTTAATTTTTACTTTATTATTTATGAATTCATATTTATCAATCATATTAATATGAATTATATGACACAAATCACTAAAACGACGACATTTTCTCTTTCATTGGTCAATCACTAAGAATAGAGAAAATGACATTTTCCTACACCAACTTTACAAAATGTGACCTTTTCCTACACGAATTTTTAATTTGACAAAAAACTACACCAAATTATCAAATGTGCCAAATTGATACACGAACTACCCAATTTAACTGCAATTTCCTACACAATCCGAAAACGGTGTTAAGTGTCCGTTAACCGCTGACGTGGCACGCCACGTGGCGGCTGACGTGGCACGCCACATAGATTTTTTGCCACATCAGCATGCCACGTCATATTTTTAAAAAAATTCCGAAAAAATATAAAAAAAAATTGATTTTTTTTTTAAATTTAAAATAAAATAAATAAACAGCAAAAAAAAATATACATATATATTCATATCTATATACAAATAAAAATATAAATATATATACAAAATAAAAAACATACACATATATATACAAACATCTATACAAATATATATATACATATACATACAAACAAATATATTTATATATACATATACATATATAAACACATATATATGTATATATACATATGCATATACATACATACATACATACAAAAAAAAAAAATCACACATATATATATATATTCATATCCACATACAAATACAAATATAAACATAAATACTTCTATTTATATATTTCTATATATATCAAATAAAAATATACACATATATACATGCATTTATACAAATATATATGCATATACATATATACAAGTATATTTATATATATACACATACATATATAAATACATATACATGTATATATATATATTCATATCTATGTACAAATACAAATATAAATATATATACTCCTATATATATATACTTGTATATTTTTTTATTTTGTATGTATGTATATATTTATATATATGCATGTGTATATGTGTATATATAATAAATATGTATTCATATACATGTATATGTATTTATATATATATGTATGTGTGTATATATAAATATACTTGTATGTATGTATATGCATATATATTTGTATAAATGCATGTATATATATATTGCTATTTATTTATTTTATTTTAAATTAAAAAAAAAATCGATTTTTTTTCATATTTTTTGGAATTTTTTAAAAAATATGACGTGGCATGCTGATGTGGCGAAAAATCTATGTGGCGTGCCACGTCAGCCGCCACGTGGCGTGCCACGTCAGCGGTTAACGAACACTTAACACCGTTTTCGGATTGTGTAGGAAATTGCAGTTAAATTGGATAGTTCGTGTATCAATTTGACACATTTGATAATTTGGTGTAGTTTTTTGTCAAATTAAAAATTCGTGTAGGAAAATATCACATTTTGCAAAGTTGGTGTAGGAAAATGTCATTTTCCCATAAGAACATGATTCGTCTTTACTTCTCATTCAAATGAAACGACGACGTTTTGGGACTGCCATGTCATCATTTCACATCCATACCTCCTTGAACCAATCAAAATCCGCCATTACCATTTCTTTATATCAACCGAAAAACAGATTTTGTCTTCTTCCCAACTTGCAGCTCCAATCGCAGGTTCGTATTCTCTCCCTGGTTTCTTCAAATTTCCTAAAAATTATTGATTTTTTATTCTCCTGCTTCTATCGATTTCATACGCACAAAATCTCCGATAAAATCCATTACCCGTTGATCTGATCTTCGCGCGTCCTAAGCCCAGTATAGGACCCGTCGAATCGTACAATCGAAACCCTAAATTTCGAGTTTTTGAAATCCGGTTCTGACCATTTTTGCAGTTTGATTCTCTATCTCACGATTCTGCTCGTTGGGTTTCTTGTTTTGGACTTCCTAATTTCCATGGATGTTCAATTGGTTGATAAAGCTTTGAGCTTTTCGAAGAGAAGAAGGAAATGGCTTGTTCTTCTAGCTGTTTGCGGTGTCTCTGGTTATGGGGTTTACAGGATTTACCATTTACCTTCAGTTTCGAGGAAGAGGAAGAGGTTGATGAAGCTCTTGGGAGCTATGTTTTCTGTGGCTGAATTAGTGTATGATTCTTCAGAGACTGTAAATGCTGTATCCAGAGATCTGAAGGAGTTCCTTCAATCAGATTCAGACGAGATTCCCAACAGTTTGAAGCAGATTTCGAAAATTGCTCGAGCTGAGGAGTTTGTGCAGTCTTTAGCCAGTGTTTCCGAGGGCTTCACCTTAGGGGTTCTTAGAGGTTATAGCTATGGATCTGAAGATCAGAAAGAATCAGGAAATGGGCCCTCGGATTCAAATTTTACTGATAGAGTGGTGGACCGAATGTTTTCACCCGCTGGAAGCGGATTTGTTTCCGCTGTTGTTGGTAGCTTTGCTAGGAATTTGGTTTCTGGGTTTTACTCAGACAGTGGATCGATTGAGGAGAACGGGAAGCAATATGATATGAGTTCCTCTGATGTGCCCTGGTGGGTTAATGCCCTTTACAACGAGAAATCTAAGGAGCTCATGGCAGAATGTATCGAAAAGTTTGTGAGCACATCGGTAGGGATTTACCTTGACAAGACGATGCATATCAACACATACGATGAGATCTTTGTTGGACTGACAAATCCGAAGCATAGAGATGATATGAGGGAGATTCTTGTCTCTGTCTGCAATGGAGCTGTTGAAACTCTTGTGAAGACATCTCATACTGTCTTGACGAATCCAAGTTCCAACTCTTCAAGCGAAATCATGGAGGAAAGAACAAAACTTTCGCCACGGAAGCACAACGAAAATGGGGGATGGTTAGATTCTGTCAAGACCACAATGGCCGAGCCAAGAAACAGGAAGTTTGTGTTCGATTTGACGGGAAGGGTAACGTTTGAAACAGTAAGATCGATGGTTGAGTTCTTGTTATCAAAGCTCTTTGAATGTTTCAGAAGAAGTTCCCGAGCTCTAGGGGATGAGATTATGGACAGGGGACGTCAAGTTATTGCCTTTGTCAATGCAAAGTCTTCGGTCATCGTCACCATTTTCATTGCACTGTACCTTCACGTTTTCAACACCAAAAGGGTTCTAATGGCAGCTTAAGCTCAACTCAAGGATTCTTGCATCATTACAGAGGTATCTACCACATGCTTCATGTTTTGATTTTGTTGCAGGATCTGGATCTTGTATGTAATAAAACATTTGTATATATATAAACAAAAAATCAAGAAATGTGGGCATACATATATTCAAATACATGAATTATTTCAATTTAAAAAATGGGATTTTTTTTGGCTGTTCTTGGTAACTCTCTACACAACTGGCCATTACAATGAATAATCTCAGGTTCTGTCTGTAAAACATTCCATAAGTGATATCTAATAATCTCTGATTCTCCTGTTTGCCCATCTTTGCTCTTGCATCCCACAGTATATTATTCCGCATAATTAATTATTCATTTCCCCAACTTGGTAATATAATTATTCCCACTAATTGATAATATTATTTTAATCCACACTTTTATCACTGGTGGTCTCACTTCATAATTAAAAACTGTCATGGCCGCAGATTCGTGATCTATAGGATTAGGAACTGTTTATTCTTATTTTTTTACCATTTCATAGCTAAAATCCAATTATATTTAGAAATTAATATTTTAAACAGAATTATCATACCAAATATAACTTATTCATATTTTCACAAAATTAAAAGTAACAACCATGAATTTATGTTATATATACACATATATGCGTATTTTTGGCATAGAATACCGTATTAAAAAAACACAAAAAAAATAAGTTTATTAAATAAAATTATAAGATTATTATTAAAAGCATATATGCTAACAATATGCTCTTATGATTCGAATTTTTTTAGCAAAATAATAGGGTGTGATAGGTTCTTAGGAAATTTGTTTCAATTTAGTTAAATACTCTTCATTGAAGAGAGGTTTTTGTAATTAACACCAAATTTTCAAGAAATGTACTAAACTAGATAAATTTTAAAAAAATGATTTAGAATTATTATTTTTACTTTTCTACAGCGAAGACAAAAATAAAATGTTAAAGAAAAAAAACTAACTCGATATTTTTATCCCATTGGTTTCACATCATTGTTATTACTCCATTCGTTTCAAAATAATTGTGGTTGTAGGTTATTTCACATTTTTTAAAAAAAGATAGAAAAAGTCACATATACCTTTATTTAATGATAAAAACAATGTTATCATTAATAATTTATTAGAATTTAATAGGGATAAAATTGTACACTATTGTAAAAAAATGTCTTGAAAATGTAGAATGACAAATATTTTGAAACATGAAAAATAATCTAAAACTATAAATATTTTGAAACGGATGGAGTATATCCTTAGCAAATGCATGTAACATAGAGTTTGATAATTAGAACATGAGACATAAAATACCAAATGCATACAGAAATCATTAGGGACTAATTAATTAATTAGTTAATTAGGGCTTGATTTTGGTGGGTGTCCTTGAGTGTAGATATAATCCAAATGAGCTGCCAATGTTTTCTTCATCAGACACTCCTCCTTGCCAATTCCTTCACACCTTTCTTCCACATCCATTCCCTTCATTATATATACCAAATTAAATTCAAAAATTAAATCGTCAATAGCTATACGACTTTAGAATAAAATTTTCCATATTTGTTTCAATTGTTGTACAAGATTACGGCACATAAAATGATCACAAAATTGAACCACGAGCAATCTTGAAATTAATATCAATTTTCATCACTTAGACAATGGGTGGATTATTCTGTACGAATTTAGAATTAATCTTAATTTGTTTTTTTAAACATTATCAAAAGCGATACGATCAATAAGAAAAACCGGAACCCGAAAAAAAATATTTGCGACGGATTCGACGGCCTCCGGTCTTGCGGCCGAAGCAATAACCAAGAAGCTTAGAACAAGGGTTGCGACAATAAGAGTTCTTGTCTTCGGCATAGTTTCTTTGCTTCTTGTTCTTGTTTGTCTTTGGGGATTGCGTGTGGGATTACAGCAAATAAATTGGCAGGATAAATATGTATTTTTGGTAATAAATTTAAGTTGTGCAACTAATTAATCAATGAATTCATTGAAATCAATCTAGTGGATGATTATAATTAATTTATTCAAGTAAACTGTGCTTAAATAAACTATTTGAGATTTGAAAAATCTGTACTCCATTAATTCTCGTCCATTTCTATCGGATTACAATTTATTTTAGATATTGTTTTTAGAGATAAATCATAAAATGATTTTTTTCCTGTTATTTTGTTATTCGCCGGCCTTTGATTTCTGGTAATTAATCAACATATATTTTCCAATAAAGGAAAATTTTCATTGATACCATTAATCTGTCATTGATTCTTTGAATTTGACAAATGATTTCTCATCATTATTCAAAACATTTTTTTACCAATAATTGTAATAAAAACATAGCCAAAAAACTCTTTTTTCGTAATTTCTTCTATATTACTATAATTGAGCTCATATTATTCATTCGGATATTTATAATATAAAAAAAGATTCGTTACTACAACATATATATTGCAAGCATCATGAACCTATCTATGTATATTGGAAAGCATCATGAAACCTTGCATGCCCATCTTGTAAAAAAAAAATATTTTCGTATGTTATTAGATTATATAACATATATAAAATGATTTGTCAATCCAAATAATGTAAATAAATAAATAAAGTAAAAATATATATATATAGTATTATGAGACACAACCCCACATTATAGGTCGCATCATTGTTCCCATCATAGTTTATTTGTTATTTTCTTTATAATATAAACATTGATTTGCATGTGTTTACTCGTATAATTGTATTCTTTTGTATCCTACATATCCCATATATTCTGTACGTATTATATACTTTGGTATCCTATATATATCTATATATATATATCATAAAACAGGCGCTGTTACGGTACATGTAAAAATAATATTATATTGAGAATTTGGAAAAATATAGTTTCAAGATGTAAAAAAAGAACATATATTTTTTTCGAGATCGGCACTTATATATTTAGTTCCTTTGAAATATGCAAAACAAAATCAATCAAAATGAATATAAAGAAAAACAGATAATTTAATAAATTAGTACAATATAAAACTAATTGGAATAAGATACACAAATAATTGAAAAAAAAGAAGAAAAAACGCTAATTTTTTAAAAACAAAAATTTTTATAGTAAAAATCGAATGCTCTGTTAGAAGAAAGCCAATTTTTCGGGATATTCTCTTATAATCGAATGCTCTGTTATATACACATGCATAAGCAGCATAACTATATCGTGTACATGTTTCTCTTTAAATACAAATACCTTTAAAAAAAGAAGAAGAAATGTAATACGGTAGAAGTGGAAAAATAAAATTGTTTAAATATCATTTACCAAAAGTGCCTTTTTTAATATAAAAAAAAGGAAGGGCAAAAAAGGAAAACATCATAGGTTTCTAACAATGGTAGTGAAAGTTTGAACCCTTTTAGTAATGGCAGATTTATCATCCTAATTTCTATAAGAATAGGCAAAGGACAAAACCGTAATTATGTCCGACCATTATAGCTTTACATGATTACATCACACATGCTCTTGCGTACGTATGTGTGTATTTAGAACAAAAAAACAAAAAAAAAACACACTCATAAAAGCAGCGAGATGTCACCATGATACATACATCTTGAACACTTTCAAGCTTCCTCTCTCTCTCTCAAGGGAAAAAAAAAAAAAACAAGAAGATCAAGAACAAGAACAAGAACAAGAACAAGAACACACGTTGGGTTCCATGGCGGCGGCATCCACGGCCTCATCATCGTCGAGCTGTTCGAGCTTCTTCGGAATCGGCTGCGGAGGCACGACGACGGAGCCGGCGAGGCAGAGATCCGCCGGAGAAAGGAGCCACCGCGGCGGAGGAGGGAGGCTGGTCGACGGAGTGGGGGCGTGGGTGGTGAACGGATTCGCGGCGGCGTTCTTCGCGTCGCTGGAGAGGCTCTCCTGCATTAGGATCAGTACCCACGAGGACGACGACGGAGACGACGCAGACGACGTCGTTCCGTTGATGCGCTACGAGACCGCCGCCAGGAGGAGGAAGAACAAAGGTAAGGCCTTCAAGAAGAACTCTGGATCGTTTCTTGATGACTGAATCTCGATTTTTCCGGTGATCCAAAATTATATATTTAAAATCTCATATTTTTACTTTCCGTTTTAATTTCTTCTATAAGGGGAACCATATAATATATGAGCTGAAGGCTGGTGAGCTAAGAAGAATACTTTCCTGTCTATATATATGTATATGATATAATGTATTTTTTTTATTTCCCTTGGTTCTGAAATACGACGACATGGGCACCACCTGAGATGAATTGAGTTTGATTTGATTACTATGATTATCACTATATATTATATAGATCTTCAATTCAAATTTTGACTCAAATTTTATTAGAATACTGTTAGTTTAATTTTGGGTTTTGTTTGTTTAATTTAATTTTAAAAAAAATGATATCGAATCTGTTTTAAGTTGAATCTAGATTGAATTTAGTGATTCAGTTGTATTCGACTGATAACCAGATTATCCACACTAATTATGATAATTTTACAACAACAATAATAATGATAATGATAATGATAATAATAATAATAACAAGTGGGTGGAGAGAAAAAAGAAGCTTTAGTTTTTAATTATACAAAATAATTTTGCTTTTTTTTTTTATTTGTTTTGTATTACCTCGTGATCATGGACCATCATTGTGTTTCCCTTTTACCTTAATCTCGTGCTGTGGCTTCACTTCAGATGCTTCACCCTATAGCCTTCTTTATGAACTGTTGTTCTTTTTCACATTGAAGTGACAGACAAAGCGATTAAGAGAATCCAATGAAATTAACACGGCTATTTAACACTTGATTCAGTGATTAAGACCCCGCTATTAGCAATAATCACATCATCTAATCTCTTATTATTAGAGCAGCAAAAGAACAATTCCAATCAAAAGCCAAGCAAATGGGTACTCGAAAAATCTAAACTTGGAGACACCCTTCAGATCAGATGTGGATAAAATTGAAGTTTGCATTAATACAACCTAAGAATCTCAAGGGGAAAAGCATAAACATTTCAAAGCCTCTCGCCAAACCATTCTCAATTCATAAGCAGTAGTTCAAAGAATCTATCTAACAACACTTTTGGCATAAGGAAGAATCTCAGCACACACTGTTGAAAAAAATTATCTTCCTACAACGCAAAGATAGGTTATCTATTGCAGCTATATGAAAACATGTTTGATTAGGGTGGAAATGCTTAAGAAGATTATAAATCATTGACTTACCAACAGAAGAGAATTACTGGATTTCCCCATCTTCACCAACCTCTCCATCCTCAAGCTCGTCATTACCGCTTCTACGGGAAGTGTCCCGATAATCCTTCTTGTGTCTTTTATGCCTACTTTCACTGTCTGATTGGGGCGAGTGTCCATGCTGCCAAATAAGCAGTTTGCAAGAAATTTAATAATGTTATCTTTGCAACTAAGGGATTTGAACCTTAGCAAGGACAAGAAAAGACTCTGGGTGTGTAACCTTTCTTGATTTTTTGCGGTCACTTCCATGTTTCCGGGACTTCTTGGACTCTTCTCTGTCGTCCCTATCAGAACTTACATCGTCGTCGTCATCAGAATTATGGTGTCGTCTCCTATGTCTTCTGTCTCTGTCTTTTCCCTTCCTTTTGTCATCTTTGTGGCCTTCCGTCATATCTGCATTTTCGCCATCTGAGTCTTCTCTTCTACTTCTCTCTTTTCCTCTACCCTTTTCGCGTTCTCTCTCTTTTTCTTTTCTCTCCTTTTCCTTCTCCTTCTCCTTCTCCTTCCGTTTCTCTTTCTCTTCCCTCTCTTTCTCTTTCCTCATCTGCAAATTCCCAAACCACTAAAAGTCTTTAGATTTTCTGAAAACCGATTTAAAAGCGAAGGTTTATTCAAGACAAATAGCATAACATGACAGTATTAAGCTACCAATCATGAAACCTCTTCCTGTGTAGTCAAAGTAGAAGAGAAAACAAAATGCAATATCTGTCATACTTTAGCATACCTTAGCCCTACAGATTATTAGGCCACCAGAAACACACAGACATTGTTTAACCCTATGGGAATAAGGTCACCAATGGACACAAACCGGACCGCAGCTTGTGTTTGTTGGATAAAATCTGAAGTTCATCAAACTATGGTAGCATTGAACAGGAAACCCACAACAAAAATTCAAAGCTCATTTTATGTGATATTGTATTAATCAACTAGCAATAAATATACAGGATACCTTTTCTTCCTCACGCTTATGTTCCTTTTCTTTAACCTTTTCCTGCAAGGTCAGTATGTATTCTTCAAAAATCCCTCTGCAAGCATTTTCATCTCCAATCAATCTGATACAAGACGGAAGCATGAATAAGGAATAAAGAACAAAGACTATCCAGCAGGCACAACAAAAACAAGCTTGCTCAAAGAACAAGTGTTTACCTGTACTCTTCACTTTCTTCAAATAGTGATTTGCTATCTTCCCAAGTTGAAGTAGCAGTTATTTCCTAAAAGAACAAATGTGACTAGTGATGTACTGAATCTAGGCAGCAAAAAAATAGAGGAAAAACGGATTCAGCAGAGCTGAGTTTATACCTTAAAAGTATTCAGCAATTTGGTGAAATCTTCGGCCAAATTCTGACGTTTTCTAGCCTCTTTTTCTTCTTTTTCCTTTGCTCTCTCAAGCAAATCATCATATACAAGCTGATAAAGAAGGTAAACCGCAAAGTTAAAACCTCTTCAAAATGACCACTAATTTTTTTTCTCTCCATCTGCCCCACTTTTATTCTTGCACAAGTGCCACGAATTGCTTATATTGTAGTTTGACATTTCTGTCAAAAGTTTAGATCATTAATAGCACACGGTTAAAAATCTTTGGACTCACTTTATATCTAAATGAGAAGTTTTATCAGAAAATCGTTTGTATTGATCCACCTATCTGTTAGTGCTTAACATACGTCTGACTCTATTGTCTCATACCTTGAGATTAATGTCTGATATTGGTTGAGAACTGAGATCCTCCAAAACAGAAGATTTGAAGTCTTCAAATGTCCGTGAGGAGACCATGGAAATCTAATACATAAAAGGATTAGAGGGAAGGCCTAACAAATGTAACATAAGGAAGTACAACAAAATGCCTTAAGACTCACCTTCTTGGACTTCATAGCATCCTTTGTACGGTTTTTATCGTCATGATACTGCGAATTGTGAGATAAAAAAAAGTTTGACCTTTCACAACTTTCAAATTCATGCAAAGCTAAAATGATCAAAACCCAGAAACAGGAATGTGATATATACTCTGCTCTACTCCAAATACCTGTTTCTCTAATTCTTCTATCACATCTTCAAACAAGTCCTTTGGAGTGGAACCAGAGGTATTAGATGCAACAGCTTGGTACTGGGGCAAATCTTTAACCTGCAAACAATTAAAAAAATTAAGTAGAAGAATCCTACTCCGATTATACACACACACATACAACTATATAACAATAAAGACAATATAAGTCAATCACCTTCATGCAATAATCCCGCCAGTAAGTTTTAGCAGTAAAATCGCCAGATGCAACATGTTCTTCCATTATTGAACGAAATGCATCACGATTTTTTCTCTCAGCCCGCCTAATTTGTTCCTAGAAGCAGATGGCAATATGACAATATAAACACGAGACATAATAAGAAAAACATTCATGTGGTCACAAGTTCACAACCATGATATTGATGATTGATCTTACTTTCTCTACCCTCTTGTGTTCCTCCTCTTCCTTCTCCAGGTCAAGAATGTATTCCTGTAATTAACCAATATTAGAATAAGATTCTATTACGGCAAAACTTAAAGATGAGGTTGCTCACCTCATAACCAATCAGACGATCTATCTTTTCAAGACATGAGCATCTTTCATCATCCTCCAGTTGATCTTGAACTTTCCGCCATTGTGAAGTAACCTTTAGACAGGTGCGACAGAAAGCATTCTGATAAGATCGATGAATAAAAAAAAGTACATAAACAATCAATTGCTGCTCAAACAGTGATATACCTTGATAAAATCACAGGCCTCAAGAAACTTTCGGTATTCAGCCATGTTTCTTCGATGTTCCTCTACAGCCTTTTCTCTTTCCTGCAGATTAAGTTCAATAATTATGACCTAATAAAACCATAAGGTTGCCTGTTATATGGTAAGAACAGATCCCATTCTCTATGGCAGAGACTAAAAAGCCATCCTGCTGGCTCCTGTTATATAACTTACAGTCCACCTGTTGCTCGCCATAACAAAGACCTATAGTCCTATGATCACAGCATGCTATAAAAGCACCATCCGGACAACAGAAATGATCATGAGAAAATTTCATTTTTTTCCCGTGCTTTCATTTCTCAAGCATCCCTTGCTTTCAGTGGCAGTGTTCTACACCACAGAAGTATTATCAACTCCCAACAGTTATCAATACACATGGATGTGCAGCTGTAGAAAGCAAGTTTCCTAGAATGCCAAACTATTACCTTCTTCTCGAGTTCCAAAATGTAATTGTCAAAAAGATTTTCACGATCCCTTGTGCGTTCAACTGCTTTAAAGCGCTCATCAATTTCAAACAAACTTACAGCTTTGCTGATGAAGAAAAGTACCAATTAGAGCATACCCTTATACATAAAATACAAAAGTGAATACAAAACCCAAACATTCTGCAACAAACTGAAAGCCAAACCTCCATTTCATTGCTGATGTAAGTTCTTCACACTCCTGAGGACAAGAATTGCAATAAATGAGAAATGAGCACCATACTAAACAGGCCAGATAAATAACACCAGAAACAGAAATTTAACTTTGAGAACACATACTTCTAACATCTTGACAAATGTTTCCCGAGCTTTCTTCTGCCTCATTCGTCTTTCCTCAGCTTCAACCTTTTTTCTTTGACCCAGATACTGATACATGACATTCAACAATTATGTGTAAGCATAAAGCTGCTAAAACATCAATTGTCAGGTAGAAGAAACAAACAGCAAGGACAGCGGAATGCAACTTGTGAATGGGTTTATCAAAACTATTTGTGCCACATACCACAAAACTAATAAGCTGTGTACCTCGTTAAAAGCCTGTTTCCGCTCACCAACTGTCCTCAAAGCACCGTATCTTCTATCATTAACAATCTCTTTCATAGTCTGATAAGATAAAAGTCAACAATGAAGCAATTCAGCACATATATATCGGCTGTACACGAACAATCACATTATAAACAAGCATATCCATCCACGTTACCTGTTCCCAAGTCCAGTCAGAATGAACATTTACAGATTCCAAAAGAGACTTAAAGGCAGCCTTTGCCTCCTAGAAAAGATAAACCAAGGGTAAGACAAGAGTAATATTACCAAATGATCAGTTCATATATTTTACCAGCTTCATTGACTGAATCCATGGCGATATTTCCCTTGTATGTTATATGTTATCAAACCACTATTGTTGCTACAGCTAAAACATATTTAAGCTACATGATCCTCAGGAGGAAGAAAACGGGAGGGGCAATCACCTGCTTAGTAGCATATACCAAGGGTTCCTCCCCATTTACTTTGCCTCCAGCAGGTGCCAAATTGGTTTTGCCATTCACTGCAATCCCCTTATTCTCAACCTGCCAAAATGTTATAGGTATTAAGATAAAATACCAAAGGAATTGCATTTTACACACGATAATCACGACTTAGTGACCGGTGTTTTGTGAAAACAAAAATCAGAGCAGATAATATTGACATCCCTTATATGAAGGGCAAGGAAGAGAGGTAAACAGATGAGAGAAACTAAAATAAATTTTACAAGCAAAGCCATGCCTCGATGTTGTGTGCTGGAACTCCACAATTAGAACCAGCTGCACCCTGAGACGCTAAATTATCTGCTTTCCTGTTAAGAAGTGCACATCAGCTAAATTTAGAGACCTCCTTAAGCTTTATAATCAGTAAACAACTACCCAAAAGCTAAAAACACACGTTGAAGCAGGCCCGGTATCACTTGTTGCAGCAGATGTTGGAGTAATGGGAGCCACAGAGGAAGGATGACTGACAGTTACAGCCATTGAAGTTGGAACAGGGCTAGCAGACTGTGCAGGTAATGTCACGGAGGCGCTGGGAACAACGGAAGTGACAGCTGTGCTAATTGCCGGATCAGATGAAAATGCAGCAACTTGGGGCTCGGAAGTAGTTCCAACTTCTGACTGGGATCCCTGTGCAACAGCTCGCTGGCCCAGGTCACGAGCTAGCTGCATAAATAGCCCAGTTAAATGCGGGCTTACACAGAGGGAGCAAGGAAAGAAGAGAGCGAGGATGAAACCTCAAACCTTCAGTTCTTCAGGAATTGTCCACTTAGACTCCTTTGTAGCCTTGTTATAGTAATACCTGAAAAAATATGAAATGTTAGAACCAATAAATTGGACACAATGATAGAAGGTGCTTGTGCAAACAAAAGACTTGCAGAAAAATACAGATGCATACTTTCTTCCTTCGGGTGTTGAGAATTCCTTCCATACAGTGGATGCATCAGCCCTCTGTTAAAAAAAGGGAGATTTTAAATCATATAAAAACCAGAGAGAACTGTGAATAGATAGGGCATGTTATAATGAATCAACTAAATCATTATCTAAATAAAACCAGAACGAAATTCTAAATTAAATGGGTAGAAAAAAAGACAATAAAATGCATGAACCTGTCCTCGACAATGAGTATAACAACCTACTTCGGGAGCTGCAAAAAACTTTGCTCATGAAACCACGAGCAACTGAGCAAGAAGTTAAGCACCCATCTTCCATGTTAATTTCATAGACCAGTTTATTCCAGAATGCAAACCTGTCTAGCTATAAATTGTTGGCTTGCCAAAATCGAACCTTATCCAAATCTTTAATTACTTAAGATACATCATTGCCAAAAACGTTAGAGAAGTAATCCACAAACACTTCACCAAATCAGAGAGCAATGCAAACTATACCAGAAAGGGCACAAGGACTGGAACTCAAACAGCACCAACACCAATGATATATTGCATTGTCAATCTCAACATGACTATAAAATTGCTACACAGGGTTCAAACAAGAAAAGGAAAAAAAATAAAAAAGATATGCATATCTACAATGGGTGCATGTCTAAACATTAATGATTCCTCCTCCATGCACCAAAAGAATAATGAGACACAGAAACATGGCTTTCACTCAGAGCAAACCAGAAAAGTCATTACCAAAAGAAATCATCCCCCAAACGACAAACTGGCAGAAAATAACAAAGAAAACATTGCCTGATTTGATACAGTGAAAGCCGCCTTCAAATGAGCACATAGCAGTTGTTAAATATCCCCAGATTTGCCATGGCCTCTACAAACAGTGTCGAAAAAGAATATGCAAATGAAGGATAATGCAAATGAGACAATTATATTCATGTGAAGAATGCAGCATTTTTTTTAACAACAATGAAATATAACATCACAGCAAACTAAAAGCAGAGGTATGCCTTAAAAATCATGCAGGATGAATGTTATCTGAGAAGACTTGCTATTTTTGAACTCTCACCTCGAGTGGTGTCATCAAATCAAGAGGTTTCTCCCAACTTGATTGTTTAGTCCGCTTATTGTAATAATACCTACAAAGACAAACATTTCTCAGGGAGGAGCAGTGAAATAAAATCATCTGAAAGATCCCAGCAGCGAAATGCATGGCCACTAGAAATATAAACAAACACATGGAGGAAGATATCAAAGGCTTCAAAAGAGAAGCTTAACTACGAACTATGTGCTGTCAATTAATTATCAATTCCCAATTAAACATGTACTGTTACTTAGTTAGGCTTAAAAAAATTACATATAGGAATATAATCAGCCTAAATCTAGAGCAGAAATTCAGGTATATACTTTCTTCCGTCAGCAGATGTATGCTCCTGCCACTCAGATGCGGATGCGGACTGTGGAGTCAGGCTTGCCTAGTATTCAGAACAGGAAAAAATATACAAAAGAAGAAACAAAGCAGTTGAGTCATATAGAAAGGCTGCAAGAGAAGCTGCACACAACATATCGAAAACAAAGATAGAAACAAAGTACGAGGGTGCCCATTTAGGACAAACCATGAAAAGAATTTGCTTAAAAAGTTGAAGCTACATTCTTAATTTGATACAGCCAAATAAGTTGAGGAACTTTATATTGAAAAGTAAAATTTTAGAGAGAGAAATACAGAAAATAAGATAGAGACGCGATAAATGATAAAATGCATATCAGTAGTAACTCCAGTTATTCTATAACAGCAGACTTAGCAAAACTGACCAATTCATGAATTCTATAATCCATGCCGCTATAGATGATACCAATACTCAAATGTAACATGGATTCTCAGTTAACTAAAATATGACTTTAAGCTTGAAAACGGGGATAGAAATGTATACAAGTCAGGAAACAAACATCTTCCATGGGCTCGGTTAAATATACTACTTAGACTTACTGGCTCAGTAGAAGCGTTGACTGGTGTTTGTTGACCAGTCTGCTGTACGGGTACAGGTGTTGTACTTTGACTTCCAGACGCAGCCCAAGTCTGTGGTGCTTGTTGACCAGCCACAAGCACCTGAGGAGCTGGTTGGATTTTGGGTTGTGCTTGTTGCTGACCATAAGAAGATAGCAGAAACTTCGACTACAAAAACCCAAGTAAAATAACTAAGCAAAAAATGAAAGGTCATCTCAAAGCAGAAAAATAAGTAAAACGGCAGAAATCTCACCGGGTATGAAGGAGCACCATAGCCTCCCATCATATGAGTGTTTGGCTGTGGTTGAGTAGATCCAGATGTAAGAGGCCTGTTTGTTTGAGTGTATGGGACTGATACTGCATGTGACGAGGACGTAATATGCCCAGGCTGACCTGGTCTCACTGGAAAGAGCTGCTGCATTGGCTGAGAAAACTGTGGAGGCTGACTTTGAACAACTGGCATCCCGGCATTTGGATGTACATGTCCGAAGGAATGAAAAGGCTGCGAAGCTGCTGGAACAAAAGGCTGATTCTGTTGTCCGGGAACCATCGGTCGAAACTGCAACAGAAAAGGATTCACGATGAAATACAATACAATAAATCAGAAAGTAAGAAGACAAAAGGAAGAACAAGGTCTAGCTCAAGTGTCTTTACATAAAATAAAAATTTAACAAGGCAAAAGGGTAATCTTACCTAAACCCATATAAAAAGCAACTATATCTGTAAGAAAGACAACCAACTAAAGATCTCACCAAAGAAAATTTCAGTCACCAACAGAAACCAATTCTATGAGTTTTGGTGAGTGGTGACACCAATCTCAAACAAGATCTCACTTCTACAGCTATCAGACAACAAGACACGAATATAAAGCTCAAAGTTTCACTAAAACATTGGGAATGCATTAAAAAGTTTCTAGGATTACGGTATATCATGATTCTAACAGTAAGACACAAACCGGAACAATTACTGTCAAGCCCGTTAGAGTTCACCGTCGTAAGACTAAAAAAAGAAAGCATCTTTTCCAACCTGAGCACCGGAAGATTGCGGAGGGTTGTTCGCCATTCCTAACGATCGAGCTTCCTCTTCAAATTAATTGCTTAATCTGAGAAAGAAAAAAACTACGGAAGAAAAAAAGTTTCAGAATTTCAGACGAAATTGTCAAATTCCACGAACATGGCGTTCGCTTCAAGCACGAGTAAATGCTCGTAGGGGGGAAATGCTCAAACACTAAAAACAAGAACAGTAAAACCCTAATCAGCACTGCATAAAGGTAAAAACGCAGCATACCGGGAAGAACTAGAGATTCTTCGAATTCCAAATCCGAAGACGAACACCTCCAGTAATCTAATGTGTCGCAAGAATCCAAACCCTAATTCAGGAGAAAACTCGATGAGAGACACGAGCAAAACTCTTCGCGATTTGCGAAGAACCCAGCAACGGTCAGAAGCAAGCAAGAAACATGGACACGCAAGAAACGTCAAGGAGTGTCCATCTCAAAGACAGAAACGTCATGTCTGCCGATCCATCCCCTTTATATATTTTTGGTTTGGAAATTTAACGCACAAAAAAAATATATTTGAACTTTAGTGCTTGTTTTATAGTTTAAAGTTATAGATTATAATGGATTTTTGAGTGGGAAGTGATTCTTGACAAAATAAGAAGTTATTGAAAGATAATCGAATTAGAATATAAACTGGGGGTCACATTGTAATTTTTACCAAAATACAGGGGGCAAGTGAAGTAAATAACATGTTCCAATGTAAAATTAGGGCTTTCAGAGTCAAAGCTCTCCTATTTAAGCGAAGTCTAATCTCTTTCGGCGTCCATGATATCGCCTGCCGCGTGAGTTTTCCCGAGAAACAAATAGGTTCTTCTGTGTTTGATTTTCCGATGCCTCGAGTGAATCGTATGTTTTTGTTTCATTCCGATTTCCAGGTTTTACAAGTAGAGAGGGATTGGTTGCGATGATTATAAAGATAATTCATCTTACTGAACCGCCATTGCCAATGGCTTGACAGACTCCATATACACCCATAGAATATGAGCACCCCCCATCTCTACCAATCGATTTCTGTCCTTTCTTTTTTCTTTTTTCTTGATTTTTTAGGTAAAAGTTGCAAACTTTTTTATGCTTTTGCATCTGGGCAAATTCCATGTTCATTTCCGTCGGATATTTCTTTGAGGTTAAAATCAATCGCCAATAAAAACCGTATATAATTTCTTCTCTTTCCGGAATGTGAAAGCTTGCTCTAGATGGCGCAATGTTTTTGGGATTCTTCTGCAATCTGCTCTCTGTTGCGTTTTTCTGGTTCATCCGAAACATTCTTTTACTGCTAATGACTTGGGATGTTTTGAGATGTCTTAATATCTCCAGATTGATATATCATTTGATTTGATGGGTTTTGATTTACAAACTCAAAGGAGCTTGCTTTATACTCTGCAGAGTTCAAATCTATGGGGCTCTGTAGCCAGCAAACTCCTAATATTGATAAAAAAAAATGGTGGTGTTTAAAGCCCTAATTCGTCTGTAAAATAGTTCCAGGAATTAGGGTTACGCACACCTCCACAAGTTTCAAGAACTGTAAACCTCAAAAGAAATCTCTATTTCATGAGTTGTCTGTATGGACCTTGGGATTTGGTTTGGCAAGTTGGTTTCATTATGAATGGATCCAGAAAATAAAGCATCTACTGACTTGATTTGTAAAATATGACGTGTTTAGTGATAGAATATAATGCAGGAACAAGGAAAGACCAGTACAAAGCTGTGGTGGACGTTATCCGCTGCAGGTGGAGGAATTCTCAGAAGTTAAGTTGAAGTCATAGCTATCTGATTCATTGACCCAAAAAGAAACCCTTGTCAACTCTGAAGATTCTGTATGTAATCTTCACATAATAAAGCATAAGAATTCAAGCAGTTTCTGCATCTAAACCAGTGGAAAGCTGTCTACAGCATCTCCTTCATGTTTCAGAACTTAAAAAGACATACTTTATGGAAGAAATTATGTTGCATAATTCTCATCCCCAACATTGCAAATGGGTAGCAGCACGAATCTGATGCCTTAACTCCTGCATTGTCATAAGAAGCACAGAAGGAAACATATGCTTAGCCATAAGTCAAATGCCTACAATAAATTAAACACAGGGCCGAACAACAAGAACAGTCTCAGAAAACTAATGGATTGATGTGTATCCATAATTTAGGGAGGTAAAGACCAAGAGCAATGGACATGCTTAGGAAACAAAGGTTGTCTTCTGCAGAACTCCGGTAGGTGATGATTGGCTGCTGTTTTGCAAGGCCTCACCTAGTGGACCTCCCACTGGACTCTCCCATGGTAGAGATATGTTTCTTCTACTCCCACCTTCCACTCCCAATCCCATTGGAGTAGGGTCTGCTTCACATGACAGCCTGAGTGGCGAGAGAGCGGCGGAAGTTTTATCCCTGTTTCTAAACGTGGAAGACGAGAAACCCGAGGACCCTGAAAGCTGGTTCCTTTGTGAAGGGTTTCGAGGCAGATTTTCCATGAACTGGAGAAGCTGGTGATGGGATGGGATTTCGGTTGTTGGATCAGAAAGGTATACCAAGTGAGAGGATTCTCCACATTCAGATTGGACAAAACCAAACTCGCTATGTGAGATTTTTTCGAAAGGGTTTTCGTGTTTTGAAAGAAAATATGAATCTTTAGGTTTCAGATTGGCAAATGAACTTGCTTCCTGCTGTTGGTCATTACAGGTGATATTCTTGCCCATGAAAACCCTGCAATGAAGGAGATAACCAAGTTTGAGTAAACAAATAGCATGCAGAAGCAGTCCTAGAAATCGAAAACAGGGGGACAAACCCATTGGTCGAAGCACTCCTAGAAGAATGTTGTGGCTGATGATGTGCAAGAAGAGCGGAGGTATCCTTGGAGGCTGATGCCTTGGCAGTGGTGATGGTGGCCATGACAGAAGCAGAAGATGAATGGCCTTGAACTTGACCTTCCACAGGCTTTCTTGAACGGTGGCGACCACGGTTCATGTGTCGCTCACAGTACTTCTGGTCAGGGACCGCGTCTTTTGAGCACCTCCACTTCTTACCATCTGTCCTCCTGCACCTCCCTGGCTCTGGATCATCTCTACTTGAGAAACGCATATGGAAACCTCCCGACCCCACTTCATATACCACATCAGAGCACACATACATCACCATCATCATCACAGAAACATCAAGAACATGTTGGGGAGAACTTTCGAAACGTTTTCTCAGTTCAGAACATTCCAACGCTATTGGGCTGGTGTTTTTTTTGTAAGCTTTTGACATTCGAATGAACAATGATGCTTTCTAATACTATATTTTACATGCAATGAGATACATTCGGCTGTTAAGACAAGTTTGCATCAAGTCATCTCAAACTACAAAGGAAGTTAAAGTATTACCATAAAAGGAAAAGAAAGCTTCCAGCTTGGTTTTACTCTCCTTTTGGGTAAACAGTTTCAGTTTCGTTAATGTGTTCTGTCCCATCTATTTTATGTTTCACTGTTTTGGTCAAATTGCATCCAAAAGACACCTGAGCTCTCAGAGCTTCAGCTTCAGCTGCTTTTTTCATTGAGGAAGAGAGAGAGAGAGAGAGAGAGAGAGAAGAGAGAGACTTACATGTGTTGGACCTCAACAAGCCTCCACTTAGACAAGACAAACCAGCAGATTCAAAGGCTTTTCTGATGGGAAAAAGCAGAGTAGAAGGTATAGGAATGTTTGCAGATATGTACTTGTATATCGTTGTCTGGTGTTCCAACTCTATCCATTGTGATGCTGTGAACCCACTGTATGTCCCATTGTTACTAGTGTTGCATCCTGAAAACAGAGCATGGCCCATCAACACAAAAGAAACAAGATGAGTAGAAAAACAAAAAGAACAGGTTTTAATGCCAGAGATGAAGTTGAACCACCAAAAGAACACTTTTTTTCAACTTCCTGAAAACATTGCCTTTTACATATACATATATACGCACCCGCATCTCTAGTACTGGAAGGAGACACTGATGAGAGTTGAAAATAAGGCAACAGGGTTGCACTCTGGGCAGTTGATCTTGGAGAAGAAAAGGTCAGCATCTGGTTTTCTTGGTGATGAGAATCAACAGCAGGGAACAACAGAGGAGAATAGCTGGATCTTAACGGCTTGCCGTTGTCGGAATTGGACAAATTATCACAAAATGTCTTAGCCATTCTCTTGGAGCCCTTCAAAGACCCTTCATCCTCATCATCATGACGATTCTCATCATTAACCGGCCTTCCTCGTTCCCTAAACCAACCAGATCCGTACAGATTCTGCTTTGTCAGAGGATCTGAGACGGCAGAACCAAACCCAGAAGAAGAAGAAGAAGAAGAAGAACCCACCAAACCATGGAAACCCACCAACCCGAAATCCATAAAAAGATCTCAACTTTTAGCCTACAAAACAGCTTTCCAGGAAAGAGAAAGCATCGAGGAAGTCTACATGTGAAGGATGTGAGTGAACAAAAGCAGACATCTTTGGAAGATGTGCAGTGGTGAGTAGCTGTGATGTGTGGTTTTTCTTGAGCTGTAAGAAGGGAAATAATCAGACGGATACCGGAATGAACTTCTAATCTAAAGAGAAAAACAAAAATAATTGGAGAGAGAAAAAGAAAAGGGAAGAAACTGACTTGACAAAGCCACTGTACTCAATGCTCTACACATTGAGCGTATATATATATATATATATATATATTTATGTATATACGAATTTGAGGGGAGAATTTCATAAATAAAGATATCATGACAAATACCATACAACATTTTTTTATTTTTCGAAATGTATATACATATAGACATAAATATATACATATCTTTTCAACAATTTTCTTTAAAAAATTCAAATATATATATATATATCAATATATGTATTCACAAACAATTTTGGAAAAAGGATCAAAGTATTCTTTGAAAATAATAAATTATATTTTTTATAAATATAAAAAAATATAACTTTTTATAAAAGAAAAAGTTTTTTTTTTGGTGGAATATAAAAGAAAAAGTTGTTTTTTATAATAAAGATATGAATGGATTTGTTATAATTTCGGATGTAATGGAGAACTTTTAGTCACTTAAATAAGATATATATATATATATATATACATATACATACGTAGGGTCTCTCTTTGCCTCAAGGAGATGACAAAAGTTTCAGCTTTTCCCAACGTAAAATATTTTCCCAAGATCTTCTCCCAACATGTCGTCCCAAATATAAATGATTTTGGAAATCTTGCTTGGGGGTATTTATGTATTTATTTTACATTGGAAATACCTAAATTACCCTCCACACACTTGTGAGCTATTTCTTCGTAGCGACGTATATAACTTAGTTTTTTTTTTTTTTTTTTTTTTTTTTTTTTTTTTTTGGTTGTTGTTGTTGTGGTTGGTGGCGGGCAATAAAGCGATAAAAACCTAAATATCATTTATTAATCTATTCGATTCGATTAGATGTGTTGATTACAAATATTGGTAAGTGAATGATAGAGTTTGTATTTTTTTTCCTTATCTTTATTTTAAAAACTCGTACATTGTTGTCTTAATCATCCTACTCAATAATTATGCACGTTAAATGCTAAAGAAAACACTAAAAGAGCAAACTCTTGCAATTTTTTACGTACATTTTCTTTGTAAACCATGAATAAAATCACATTATATCGTACATTTGTTTGTAGACTATGTATAGACGAATGTATAGCCTTGTAAAGAATTTAATGACTTACCCTATATTTCCCAAAAAAGGTACATAAAATGAAAAAAAAAAAATTCCAATGATAGAGTATTATACTAACGTAGTTATATATAAAAATAATAATTCAAAATTTTGGATTTTCTTAACATTCTTATCATTATAACTGAATTTGAATAAAAATCAAATCGGACTAAATCTAATTTAAAATTCAAATTAATATAGGTTTTTAAAATCGAAATAATCAAATTCGAATAAAATAACAGCTTATTTATCTTATTTATCATATCCGAGCGGCAAATTTATTACGGGGCAAATATTGTCGACTTCTACTATACGATTATTCACGCCACCTTTCGCATTAAATAGAAAGGTGACAAATTAAAGCTATCCATAATTAGGGGCGAGTGAAGAAACCCAACAAAATCAAATTTATCAGATTTTTCATTAACTTATTAAATACAGTTATTTGAATCTCAGTAACCAAGTAATACCATTAAATTTAATTATTAATCAATTAAATAAATTCTTTTAATTTATATATACATACACAGTGATCAAATAATCCAAAGTGAGCCTCGCTCTCTTTTTTCTGGATGACTTAATTTTCTCTATCGTTATCACACACAAAAAATATATTATAAAAGCAGAATATTAGCATATGCGTGAAAGGATCTAAGCATTGTCAAATATTAATAATATGATTAAAAAAATTAAAAATAAAAGATAAGAGTTTGATTTTAATGGTAATTTAAATAAAAGTAATATTAATTTTAATCGATTTAAGTGAATTAATTAAATACGAAATTGAATTTATATAGAAATACAAAGTATTTGATTTTAGAAAATACCGTATAAATACTTTTGTTATCAATTTTGAAATTAATCTATAAATTTTAATATTTGTAGACTAGTTTAAATCCACGAAAATATTATATAAGGAATTTTAAAAAAATAATTAAATAATTATAGTTAAAAAATGACATTGAATACCATGTAATTTTTTTTGAAAATCATTGTAAAATTTATAATTTTTAGAAAAAAAAATATATTTGTTAAAACTTCAAATTATTTTATATTAATATAAAATTGAAAATAAAATCAATATGTTTATATGAAATCTTTTTAATTTATTCAAAGAGATGAAACATGCATTGAATAACGATAAATACGAAAACGACGTAGTTTTAATTTTGTCGCTCTTCGTCTCCCGTTCGCCGACAGAAGGTGTTGCCGTACTGAGTTGCATCCGTACAGCATTGTGGGACCCATCAGTCCAATCCAATTGCATACGTGGCACGTTCCTAAGCGTTCAATAACCTTATCTTCGTCACGCTCTCTTTTAACGTTCTTGGTCCACCACCTAAATTATTTGTATTTTGACAACAATACCCAAAAAAGGGAGAGAAAATCACACATATTTGAATTTATTTTCAACGGGATTATATTTTAAATGAGAGAATCTTATGTCTATTCAATTATTATTGTTATTATTATTATTATTTTTTCGTTGTACGTTTATACATAAAAGGAGGATTTATCTGATGTGTATTATAAGGGTAGCTACTACGGATCTCTTGTCATAAAAAAAAATGATGTATTAATAGGAATAATTTACATAACTATTCTTTATCATATTAGATTATTCACATACAATGTATTTTCCAATAATTATAACCGTTTAAAAAGGTTTTAACACCTTTATCGATCAAGACGCACAACGAAATCCAAACTATATATATATATATATATAGTAGAAATAGGGTTCGGCTCATAAGTTTGACAACTTGTAACACGTAGTTCAACGTTGACGGTTCTCTCGTTCCACATGGCTCAAGAAATTGAGTATAGCTGTTTATTTTACGAGAACCAAGATTCATATTTACACCAGACGTAAATTATATTACTATTTAGCCAAAAAAAAAAAACAATAATTCACACCAAAGTAAAATCGATGCACGATACGATATAAATATATAGGCATATTATTTTGTTTTAATGTTTTAGTATTCGTATATTTGAGAGTTTTCACATATTATTTGAAAATATTTCTTCCCTTCGGGTTTCACTCGAACTCGTTCTTAACTTCTTACACGACACAAACGTGCGTACGGTCGTTTCACGTACGTCAATATATGCCGTGATATATATTTGAATATACAACAAGACTCGGGCCATTGGACACATGCAACGCGTGCATGGAATAAATAGGCACAAAAATTCACATTAAATGTGTTCGAGCCGTGAAAGCGTTGACTCCTTTTTACCATGTTCCAACCTAATTAACTCTTTCGTCTTTATTCTTTGTAGATTGGCTTTATTAGCTATATCGCCTTAGTTAATTTATATCAATACACATACCCTTTTTATTTACCTTAACAATGTGTTATTCTATACATATGAAGTATCATATTTGGTTTGATATTAGGGTTTTTGCATGGTATCTATCTCACATATACCCAAAATTAGATGGGTTTGCCAAGGGATAGAGCAAAATTCATCTCAAATTCAGATTCGAATCTCAATTTAGAGAGAGATATTGAGATGAATTTTCTCGATTCTTTAATAGATTTAGTCCTATCGAAACTTTAGAAACTTTTTGAGTTATAAAAAAATTATATAACATATTTTGCAATGTAACAAACGTTAAAAGATGCCTTTGGAAAGGCAAAACATGATAAGAAAACAAGAAAAAACACAAAACCGAATTAAGAATGAGATTTGTATATAATACCTAGAGATGCATCTCTGCCCTTCACTTTCCATATATATATATATATATATTTGTATCATCTCGATGGCCCCCTAAGGTCCACATGCCAATGGCACGACCGTTGGACCAAAAAATTATAACTTTATTGAAATTCCCAATTTATCCATTCTATGATCAGAGCTTGGGAATTTTCATTAATATATAGGGTACAACTGTAACTTCGATAGTTTCACTACGAGATAATTATATGCAGAAAATTAGCTAAGATAATATCTAAAAATCGGTTTCCGCATCATTAAACCAGAGATTTTGATAAAGAGAATTTGTAAGTTTGGGTATGAATTCGGCATTTTGCTTCAAATATCGGATACCGATAAAATTGTAACAATATATCTAATATTTAATATTTGAAATTAAAATTAGTGCTTTTGAAATGAAAATAGTGCCTCTTTATAGTTTACATAAAAAAAAAGAAATTTGTGTTTCATAAATAGTGTAAATGAAAATGGATTCGGTCCATCAAGATCAAGGCCATTACAAAATTAAAAGTTGGATTTTAATAAGAGTTATACATTGGGCAAATCATGATTAATGTTTTTCTGGATTTTCCTTTTACATTGCCCCCTCTTGCCTCTATTTGGATATTCTTGTTCGATATACTAAACCATTTTTCTAGTAAAATATCTTGAATTTAAATGTTTAAATTAAGTTTCAAATCAGAGATATCATTTTAGAATTTATCAATTCGAAAAATATAAGCAAACTATACGATATATGTCTAGCATAATAAATATTCCGGTTAAACACATTGAGTAGAGAAATAGAAATAGAATATAAAACCCAATTGACTTTGGTTCGGTTCATTCATTTATATTTTCTTTATATTTATTTCAAATTATACAAAAAAAAATATTTAAAAAAAAACATAAATATACTCTCAAGCTTTCTAAAAATTGCAAACTCTCTAATATTTATTAGCTTACAAAATTACTGCTAATTTTTTTTAATCAAATTCCGACATCAAATCCAACATCAAATTTCATTGTTCCTTATGGATTCGTCAGAAACTGTAAAAAAAAATTCTTACCATCAAACCCAGAACGGTCACGATATTACTACTTATTACCAAGAACTGTAAAAAAAAAAACTGTGCTTTAACTAAAATTTTTTGCTGTTGAATCGAACAAATCTTTCTTACAAAAGAATTTGCCCCCAAGAAACAAAAAAAAAAATTACAAAACGAGGCCAATCCGAGAGAAAAAAAAAAAGAGATAACCTTACAATGTTACCAAACACAACATCAGAAGCCGAGGATGTCTGTCTACGAACGTATGTTTCTCTCGATGAGCAATATACTGACATCTCCTTCTTCTCCATCGTATTGGGTGGATCTCTTTCATCTTTTTCTCTGTTGTTTCGCCATAGACAGAGAGATCGAATCGAATCTTTCGATATCGGATGCTCACTGTTTTATCTGCAGTTCTTGAAGATGATACAGGGGAGATCATGTCTGCCTGGTTCCACCCTTTTGATTATTGTTCTGCTTTCTTCCCTTTTGCTGTTCTTCTACAATGTCCTCGAACCTTTATACTCTCCTACCGAAAAACCCTAAACCATGAAAAGCTCTTTCAATGTCAGTCATTCCACTTGCTCTCCGATCAGATCAAGACCCACCAGCAAGAAGGATATGCCCTGAAACAACAGGAAATAGAAATGGATTCCTTGCGCTGATAAGAGACTCCGAGCGGAGGCTGTCAATAGAAGAAACGCCAATGACAGCTCCTTCATGTATATCCTATTGTACTTCTTCTTCTTCTTCTTCTTCTTCTCCCCGATTTCAACCTTCGTATCGGGTAAAGACCCGTCACTTTGATGCCTCGGCTCCTTCGTTTCGGCTAAGCCCACGAGATCGCCCTCGGAGGAACGCCCAGATTTCTTCGTTACCACCCACTCATATGCACTTCCCAGCTGAAACAGACCCGAGACCATGGCGTTGAATTTGGTCACTGACATCGTGTTCTCGAACAGAAGGTACGGGACGATGAACGGGAATGACTTCGGGGCGGGAAGAATGTTGAGAAACGACATCGTTGCAGGGATGTAACACACGACCCAAGCCGGGAGCTCGGCCTCGGGGACAAACATTGTCATCGGAAGGATTATGCAGAAGAGGGTGAATGAGTAGAAGGGTAGGATTAGCTTCCTGAGGAGGAAGAAGAGGAAGATCATATTGAACTTTTTCCATATGCTTATCTGCAAAAAGAGACATACATACACCTGGGTTTAGGGCATTATCGTAATATGTATAAGATCGAACCTACATTCCTATGTATACATACATCGGTCATATGCCTGCGTGTATACTATACAGGCATCATCAAAATATGTATAGGATTTAACCTAAGTTCCTACGTATTTTCTCTAAATATATGGAACAGAAGAACCGTTTACTATACATACCTTTGATTTGATTACAGCGGGCAAACAAAGGCGAAACAATTGCATTGGACCCGAGTGCCATCTATGTTGTTGTTTCCGGTAAGCTTCATACGATTCCGGTAACTCACATTGGCACTGAAATATCAAAACGAATAGAAACAGGATCGGATCAATGGGGAAATAATCACTACAAACACAAAACTTATTGCTCATAACGAGTTTCCATCTTTATATTATTACCTCAACGTCGTTTAGAAAGATGAATTTCCATCCATGGAGATGAGCTCGGACAGCAATGTCCATGTCCTCGACGGTGGTTCTTTCCAACCAGCCACCGGATTCTTCCAAGGCCTTAATCCTCCAGACGCCGGCTGTTCCATTGAACCCGAAGAAATTCAAGAACACTCCGTTCACTTGCTGTTCCACATCAAAGTGAAACGCTAAGTTTATGTTCTGTAATCTGGTCAGCAAGTTCTCATCTTTGTTCACAAACGACCATCTCGCCTGGACCAGCCCAAGCTCCTCGTTATCCTGCGAATTACACGAGGTCCCGGGATTTGAAATACAACCTTTAAGTTTAAAGCATTGCAAGCAAGTTTCCTCAATGGATGAACTTTCAACACAGTTCTTGATAAGAAACACTGCCTAAGCACTACTTATTCAATGCCTCCACATGAATGAAACTGATAAACTAGGATCCAAACTCTGCAATTACCTTAAAATGAGGGATTGTTCTGACGAGGAAATCTGGTGTTGGCTGGAAATCGGCGTCGAAAATGGCGACGAATTCGTAGTCTTTGACATAGCTACAGTTCATAGCAGACTTGAGATTGCCAGCTTTGTAGCCTTCTCTAATCTCACGGTGTCGATACACGATTCGAGCGCCTTCGTCTTCCCATTTCTGGACCTCCTCTTTGATCAAGCTCTGAGCCACGGGATCGTCGGAATCATCAAGAATCTGAATCAAAAGCTTCGATTTTGGCCAGTCTAAGTTGCAGACAGCCGCAATGGATTGCTGATAAACCTGAAAAGGAACGAAACCCAGAAACCAGAGACTGTAAATTTCTATACTTTTTGGTGGATTCAGGCCGTGGGAATCAATGAAAATGTTTTACCTCTTTCTCGTTGCACATGGGGATTTGGACAAGGACCATGGGGAAGAACCCAGTCTCGCCGGATTCGAGATCGGAGACGCTGTCTGGTTTGGGGACAGGTTTGATGTTCTTGAAGCGGATCCAGAAACAGCCGAGACAGAGGATAAGCCTGTCCAAGCTCTGGATGAGGAAGAGGATGATGCAGACATTGGCGAGGAACTGAAGCGGAGGAGCGAGATACTCTACGCGAAGCAGGACCCAGCGAGTGTAGATCGAATCAAAGAACCCTTTAATCTCAAATGGCGGAATCGTGAATATGTACTGAAGCTGCAGATTCGGAGCTCCGAAATGCCAACCCTTCAAGTAAGCAGCGACCTCGAAGGCGAGGAGAAGCACAGATACCCACAAGAACACCTTGATGCACGAGTGGAATCTCGATTTCACCGTCGGGTTCTCGGACTCCGGAGAGGAAAACGACGAGGACGAGGAGGTGGTTTCCTGGTCTGGGTCGTCGTCGGTACGGCCGGCGGCGACCCGGCGACGGACGGCGGCGCCGAGGGCTATCAATGCGGAGCCAAGGGATGTGAGACAACCTGCGGCGCGGTGGGCTTTGAGGAGGAGGACCCAAGTGAGCTGTCGAGCGTTCTTGTTCCTGGATTTCTCCCGGATTCCGACCGGAGAAGCATGGCCGCCGATGAGGAAATCTTCCTCCGACGGAGACTCGAGCTCGACCATTGACCAGTTGTTCGGATTCTCCATCTTCACCACCACCGGAGTACCTTTCTTATTCTGTTTAGCCCACCATTCAAACGAAGGAGCCATTTCTTCTTTCCTTCACCAGATCGAAAACGAAGAGAGGAAAAAGAAGCGAACCCAGATGGATTCAGGAGCCGGAGAAGAAAACCCAGAAAGGAAAATGGAGAAAAAATGGCTAAAAATTGGATCCCATTGCCACCAAGAACACCAAGTCGGAGGAAGTTGAAAACGACGACGACGAAGAAGAAGAACTGTTCCCGAGAAAGATGTATCGATGTGTATCAGAGTTTGAATTCGAATTGAACGACGCGCAATGCGACAGATTAGGTTTAGTCGAATTACAGCTTGCAACCAGAAATCAGAGGAAACTTTAAAAGACGTAATGAGCTGAAAGAGAGAGAGAGAGAGATGGTAACAGCTCAACACGTCCTTTTTGATTGCGCCAATCTGCTGTTGAAGAATATACAAAAACCCAGAAGAATAAATAGAGGGAGAAACCAAGAAATGTCAATAAAAGAGAGAACACAAACACGCCCTAATGGTCAAAATCCTTTTTTTTTTCCACACACAAAAAAAAAATCTCTTCTTTTTACAAAAAGGCCCTACCTTTACACCAGAAACAGAGGAATTTTGTGGATTTCACCGCGTGACTCAGAAACCCTAATTTCTAAGAAGAAGAATAATGACAAAGATCTCTCAAATCATTGGCAGTAAAAAGATCCATCACAAGAACACAAGATCAATGTTCTTCTTACAACACAACAACTCGATTAATCTCTCCGACAAATCCACGCGCTACCCAGATTTTGTTTTTGCTTACACCAAACTTTTTTGCTATTTCGCGTGTGATATTAACTAAGATACAGAATTCACCTCTGAGTTAATGATCACACGCGAAAAAAAAAGATTGTAAACAATTAAAAAAAACTCTCAGAAGATTTAAAAAGTGTGGAATTTTTTCTGCAACAGGAAGATGAAAACAAAAATAGAAATGTATTTTGGATTTTGTTTTTTTATTTCCTTAATATTTCTTTTTATTTTTTTAGTTTTAATCCACTAAATAAAACTGAATCAAATACAAAAAATAAATAGATATAATTTTTACAAAATACAATAATTAAATATGAAATCTCCTCTCATTGGTAACGAGTGGATGGGATAGGAAATCAGGAACAAGTCTTTTGCCGCACCGTTCATTTAGACATTTACTCTTTATATATATATATATATTTGTTTTTAGAAAACTCTTTATACTTCACGCGCCTTCGCTGCACCTTTAACGCGCCATCAGCTGATTCTTTAAATATAAATAATTAACGTACATTAATTACAGTAATAAATATTTATCATTTTCATCATACAGAATCTGGTTATTTAATATTTACAATGATATTTTTAGTTCAATTATCTTATACCTTCGAGAAACAAACAAAATATTAATTTTTTACCATATCTATTGTTTAAATCGGATTTGAATAATAATTCGGTATTCCGCTTTAGGTTAAGTTTCTTTTATTGTGTCCATATTATTCAATTTTTAAAATTCATTAAAATATGTGAATACATTGATTTCTTAACATTGTTTTGGTCAAGATTTATTTCCCTCAATAGATGTGAACGTCACGCGCTCTACAAGTTACCGAATTACTAAATTAGCCTTAATTTCATGTTAATAGCGCACCGACAAATTTACGTCAAAGATAGTCTTACGAGGCGAGGTTAATTTGGGAAAATCACTTGTTAAAAATTTCGTCTCGAATCGGGTAGAGATTCACTGTGGTGTTAGTACGGTGTTACGGTTCTCCTTATTCAGAAAGCGTGCACCGTTTCTGTCAAATCTTGACCGTACGATGTGATTACCGATTGTCAGATATGGTCGATCTACGGCTGTGAAAACGTGAAGGTGTACATGGATCAGTTGTACTGTAACGCGGAAAGGTTGTTGAAAGGACGATTTTGGTCACATGTCTTGTACGCGAGCGAGACAGTTCAAAAGGACAGGTGGATCGGTGCAAGGGTAAATGTGGAAATATACGGTATACTAGGAAAAGAGGCTGTATTCCAGGAAGATTTACTATTTTGCCACCGTTCTTGCGTATGTTCTAGCATAGCCTCTATGGTATTTTATATATTTATGCTGTCAAAATAATGGATTTTTTTGCCAACTTAATATTTGAAATTATTAAAATAATTAAATTAAACCTTGAACTAAATATTAATTCCTAAAATTAGAAAGAAAAAAAAGAAATATAATTTTCTGGTAAAAAATTCATAATAACACGGCTCAAACTATTTAAAAAACTATAATCCGTAGGCGGATGAGCAATGAAACACGTGTGCGAATGCAGAGCCCACGTGACGAATGTTGGATAGTCGCCTAGGAGTTGACACGTGGTAGGACACATGGCCCATTATGCCGGCGGCACTTGTCCGCTCCAGGAACAATGAGACCCGCAAGTTCCGGGAATGTGAAAGGTCACCGTTTTCACAGTAAATCTGCTTGGGCCGAGGCTTTTTTTTTTAAAAAATGTTTTTCATGGTCATGCAGAAAATTAATAATATCCTCGCGATAAATGAGATCATGATATTAAATGAATAAATACAAGGCGAAACGGAACAAAAAAAAATCTATATATATAAAAAGTTTGGTTCAAGGATTGTGGTGAGGACATGTGGCATCTACATCATTATTCATGTGGCAAAATCTTTTATCTTCATTGATTAATTTCTTCAACTAACGTCCATGTAAACAATACGCCTCTTCATTATACAAAATTTATAACGTATTTTTTCTTTACTAAGTCCTTATAATATTTTGTAACCGTTCATAAATCATTAGTGTCGTTTTTATTACAAAAGAGAAGGGAACGGTCGTCATCACATTAATAACCATATTTAATTTCAAAATATTGTATATTTGTTTTATCTATCATCTATTCTTAATATGTGCTTTTTATAACATGCACGTCATACTTTTTTTGGAGGATTTCCACAGGTTTGTCATTTTGTTCCCCCGTTTTCAAATGTTTGTTAGCGAGGTTGAGTGAGTTGGTTCAATGGATAGGAATTAAATTGCAGTGGAAAAATCATTCCGATTGCATAAGAAGGTTTTCGACTGGATTATTCAGAATCTGAAGACCTTGGAGACGAACCATAACAATGAAATATATATGGCAGCTGAGTTCTTTGACATTTTTTTTTAAAAAATTCTGTTGTTTGGTTGTTTGTTTGCAAGAAAACCCAGCTGTTGGGTAGATTATTATTGAATTGGTTTTGTATTTCCGAAAATAGTGAATTATAAATTTTGAATTTTTTAATATTAACGAAGAATAAAAATTACAAGTTATATGAATGTGTATATGTGTATATATAGATGTATTTGTGTGTATAACGTATATGTATATCTGTATATCTATGTATGTTCCCTGTATATGAATGTATTCGTGTATGTACGTGGACGTTACAAAAATGCATATATCTCAATACATTTTTTATTTTTTACTTTTGTATGTACGTGTATATGCGTAAATGATGCATGTATGTATTCTATAAGTTTTGTGTTTATGTATAAATATACAAATTTACAATTTAACAAATTTCATAATTCAACTAACCCAAGTGGGTTGGACCCAAATGTTTAACAATTCGTATAACCATTTACAATTTAACATATTTACAGGATTTCGTTTTTATTTCGTTTGTATGATAAATATACAAATTTCATTATTGTTATTATTAAAATAAATGATAAGTACACTATTTAATTAAGTGAATTCTACATCTCATTTATTTATTTGTTTATGATAATAAACCATATCATCATATATGTTTTTTATTTATATAAAAAATATAAAAAAAATAATAAACGGATGAGATATATTTATTTTTATATTAATTAATAATTGTAAGGTCAAAGTATGTATTTGTTACATATATGTATGTATATATATACATATATATTTGTTATTTGTCTATACTGTATGTATGTGTATATACGTATATGTATTTATATGTATAAATATGCATGTATATATATATATATATATGTGTAATAATTTAACAGGATTACACAAATTCGCTTGGAAATAATATTATTTATCCATATTTCTATGATAAACATACAAATTTTATTATCATTATTAAAACAAATGATAAGTACAATATTGAATTCAATCAATTCTATATCTCATTTATTTAACAATTAATAATGATTGTATTATTAATAATATTATATACATATATTATATGTATACATATATGTGTATATCGTTTTATTTTATTTTTAAAATATATATGTATGTGTTTATGTATACATGTATGTATGCATGCCGTCATAACAGTTTTTTTTTACAAAACTTCTTATTAAAATGTTACTGTAATTAATACAATCTTGCGGCAGATGATGCCGAATGTCGTCTTTTAAAGGTTAGTCAGAGCATACAAAGTGTTCAATCACTGTTCAATCACTTAGCCAAGAGAGGTTGGTGAAAGGTAATATATATTTGCAACCTTACTTGAATAAATATATATATATATATATAT